CCAGAGCTACTGAGGCTAGCAACTTCTCTCATCCAATCTCAAAGAGAAAACAACCATAACTCAAACAGTTTCCTTCTTCAAAACTCTCAAGAAACAAACAACTTCCACCAACTTTGCAACAATCCCCAAATCCCATTTCAACAAGTCCAATCTAACCAACTTCAGCAACCCATTCAAGAAATCTCATTCTCCAATGAAGCTCCACAACTCATCATGCAGCCCGCCAATGGAGACTACCCATCAAACCTAAGTGATTTTAGGTCACAAAACTCTCAACCCAGTGATTGGCAGCAAAGCAATGTTGGGCCTTCAAATTTTACTGATGAGTATGTTGAATTACCAAGCTTTGCATACGAGTATGGCTCAGATCACCACCAAACTATTTTGGATCCTTCACCTGAGACTTCAAATTTTCACTCCATCAACAGCAACCAGAATTTCAGCTTCACTACTTCAGTCCTCTCAACCCCTTCCTCAAGCCCAACGCCTTTGAATTCAAATTCGACGACGCACAATTTCAACAGCAGCACAGAGGACGAACGCGAAAGCTACTGTAGCAACATGTTGAAGTTTGACATCCAAGACATGTTGGATGTTAATGAATTCATGTGAAAAAATATTCATTATTATTATTATTATTGTTGTTGTTGTCAGGATCAAACGATCATCCTATAATTAGGATTTTCCAATTTTCCAGGCATTGGGATTTGCTGCTGTTGATACATGTGAAATGGTCTAATAATTAGTCTTTGCAACTTTCGTAATCTTACTGTATCCTTAAGCAAGTTCTTCACGTCCCTTGTTTTTTTTTCTAATGACACAATTATTGATGTGTCTTTTATGAATTGTCTCCTTAATTAGGATTATGTCCTATCACATTATAAAAAAGTTAATTACTTATTCATAGTAAAAAGCTTGTCATGTATTGAAGTCGTGACAAATGCTCAGACAAAACCTGATGCAGACAATAATCATAATTAATCGATTTAGAATAATATTATTATTTTGGCTGACTCACAAGAAGAGTGACATTTTAATTAAATGTGTTACAGTAAAGCAACTATTTTTTTAATTTTCTATTTATATATAGAAATAACTATAAGAGGAAATAAAAAATCTAAGTGAAAAGGCTAAAAGCTTTGCTTGCACGAAGTTAACAAAGAGAGAGGAAGAGGAGCTCAAAGATTCGGTTTCTTGGATGCCGACAGTGAGTCCAATGTTCCGGCGACAGAGTCGGAGAAGTCTGCCAGGGGGGACATGGGAGTGACACCTGTTCACGCCACCTGTATGGCTAAGTGTCGTTTTCACGTACTAATAAAGTAATTATTTGCATGGGCGGATTGTCTTGAAATTGCAAGTTTTACGAAACGGGGTAAGTACGTGTCGTTGCATGAGCGGTGAGTATTATTATGTTATGGGGACCACGTAAGCCAAGCCCTCGCTTTATTGAAAAATCATGGCGTGCTTCATGTGCTGGTTTCGTCTCTTTTATCTTCTTCTTCTTCTTCTTCTTCTTCTTCTTCATGCTATTAGTTTGCTGCCGTATGATGCTAGGACCTAATATTAATTGCATCAGCGTTTGGGACACGTGGACTCAATAATGCAGATGTGGGCCCGGGACTTGAGTTTTGGGGCGATAGAGAGTCTTATCCAGTTGGAACTTTACAACTTTAGAGGTCGTGCTGAGGCCTTTGTGGGCTGTGGCAAAAGGAAGACAAAGTACATGGTGGTGGTGGTGGTGAGGCTTTTGACTGCAAATTTCTACAATTGCTGATGTCTTCGGGAAGAATTTGGGTTCATTGGGAATAGTTGTGCTGATGATTATTGATTAGCTTGAGTCCTGTTTTTTTTTTTTTTTTTTTTTTTTTTTTTTTTTTTTTTTTTATATACATATCTCATCAGAAATGCTAATTAACTGTAATTGTCAAAACAAATAAGTATCTCTCAACTGTTGATGTTAAGAAATCTAAAGCGAGGGATTTGACCTAAATACAACTCATACTTCAGACTTTCTTTGTAAAATTGGCTACAAAATTCAGAAATGGACATCAAAATTTATTGACAATATTTGTCCCTAAATAAATCAGCTATGGACAGCTCGTGAATCATGACCAAATATGACTTTGAACCTTGTATTGGCCTTAATATGATCATCAATCAAAAGCAAAACAAAGAGCTGTATATATCTCAAGCGGGTCCCATGTGTATTTCTCAGCAGATCTGCCTCCACTTCACATTGTTTCTTCCTGTCCGTCTGCAATATTGCCCACACTAATGTCTGTCTTGGTGGTTCGTGGAATGTGTTCTCCACACGTCTCTCTGAAACATCCTTTTTGCAGATTTACTTGCACATTGAACTCGTGTGGACGATATTTGGGCTTTGTCTCTCCAATGGTTTTAGCATTTTGTGTGTGCACATTTAGGTATGACCGTCTTACAAGTTAATCCTAATTAAGAAAAAAACTAAAGTGAGAGTAAAAGATATTTGCAAGATATTTAGGTATGATCTTCTACTCGCCCGATTAGAAGGTCCAATATCAAATATCGAGCTCATAAGTCTCATTCATTAATTATTGATGTTCAAGGTCAAACCCCTTTCATGCATGTAAGCCTTGCATCATTCATGCGTCAAGGAAAACTTAGGTAACTGATTGATATGTATGCATCGCGCGCCAACTAGACACCTGTCTCCAATGTGTTTGGTATGAGAAACTGTCTGTTTGATAACCATTTTAATTATATTTTTTAGTTTTTATTTTTTATTTTTTGTGCTAAAATATAGAGGAAAACGAGAGTGATAATTGTGGTGATGATGAGATTGAGAGAAAGGGTGAGAGGGGAGGATGAAAAAACCAAAACTATAATTTTCATAAAAAATTATAAATGCATGAAATTGTTTACATCTGTATAAAATGCAGACAACTTTGTGGAATACAATGAGTACGGCTGGGGTTTGACTAGCAGCCGACCACAAACATCTACACAGAGGGAGAGACAGAGAGAGAGGCTTTTCCATATCTCTCACTTTCTCTCGACCGCCCAAAGAAAAAAGACCTTCAACGTTTTGAATAAGTAAACTCCTAAAGTGGGTTTGTGTCTTTCAGCGCCTCAGTTTTTCTTTGAACAAATTGGTTCTCAACTTTCTTTCTAGCATGTGTTGTTTGTTTCTTTCTCGGTATATTTGAGACGAAAACGCACAAAAAAATTGAAAATGATGATAAGAATTTTAGGAAAATGGTGTCTCGTATGTGACAATTTTTCATTGAGGTGTGACGGCTCCTTTGACAATGAATGTATGGTCTTTTGGAGGCTTCCTCTCATACTTGGAACAAGAAAGACAGATGGGGTTTCTGTTGCACTTGCAGAAGCAAAAGTTAGGCCAACTTGTGTGCCCATCAAATCCCTCTCAAAAGTTATGAGTTTTCATTTCTCACTGATAAAAGTTGTCAATCACTAAACGCAACGTTGCCAAATCTTAATGTTCAATATACATTTTAGACTTTTCCCTAAAATTTACAGTGTTCATAATAGATGAAAATCTATATCAAAGTTTTCTTCTTCTTCTTCACCGTGCATTATTTCGATCCTCTGACTTGTAACAAGAATAATTGGGAATGTCTCGAATATTGTGCTCAAACTTTCGGCCGCATGATGAAAATTTGGGTTTTGGAACATCACCTCTTCCCTTGTCATAATCGAATTAATGCTACATAGAATCAAAGACTACTTGAGTCAAACAACGCTTAGGATATAATTGGAGGGAAATTGTATATATTTTCAAACATTAATAACCCATTAAAGTCAGCAAGAAGTAATTGTCATTTCATGTCCCTAGCCAAATACGATCCTTATCAAGGAATCGAAACATTGTGGTTGAATTTAAGTCTTTGACATTATGTTTGGAAGAGAGTTTTTGTTTTTTGTTTTTTTTTTTCTAGGGTTACCGAATAATGCATTTCAACGATCAAAATCGAACAGATTTTAGGCTCAGCCGGTTGGTGAGTGACAACTAGACAAAAGAAGGATTGATGTACATCAATGTAAACGCATCAAGGAAGAGATATGTGATCATATATAGTTGTCTCTACATATTGACTTGTTCAAAGTTTTGTTTGCATGACACATTCAAGTTAACATAAGAGAAAAAGTGAACAGTCCGGGGATCAGAATGGGAGGATCCACTGTCGTCAAAAATCATATATTCAGATTTATTAGATTAAAAGCTATAGGCACGTCGTCTATAACGACAGAAATAAATTCCAAATTGGTGACAAAGATTATAGGATAGCTTGGGGTAAAGGCTTTGGACAATGGATCATATGAGAGAAACAGAAGGTCATCTAGCACATTGGCAAGGGGTGTTCACATTCAACTTCAAGTCACAATCGCTCAAGTTTGGTGCCAAGACAAGACGTGGGAATTTTTGACATTACTTATTATTTTCGGGTTGTATTTCCAAGTTAGCCCAATTTGGACTTTCTTTTTTGGTTTCTGTTTTTACCATTTAAAGCCGGTGAAATAAATGGATATGTTTAAGCCAATTTCCTTTTGCTTGGGCCCCAAAAAGAAATCAAAAAAGTATTTATATACCGGCCGTCAACGTGGCCGCATTTTGGAGGCAAACACGCATAGCATCACTTAGATCCCCCCACCTTTGGTTTTTTCTGAAAGCATTGACTTTTCATTCTGTTACTTACTGTACCCCATAATTGACCTCTGCGTTAATTTTCTTCCTAATCTTGGTCTTGCTAGTTTGGTTTGGTTGTTTTTAGTTAGCCCATCATAAAGCCTTAATTTCTCAGGGAGCTAATTACAGCAGTTATTTTATTCATGAATATATATATATATATTTGAGTTTTATTTTGGTTTTTAAATTTCGCTGTTGAATTTTATAGTCCTCATGCTTTCTATTTTAAAAGACAGAAAATGATAAATAATAAATATCAATAAACGTACACCTTAAGGTCCAATGCATCTACTGATAATATATCCTGCTTTGGTTACTGCCGTTGAATAAGCTCTGAAATAGAGTGCTCTTGCTCGAAGCCCAGATAACAATCTGAAATTAAAGTCAATTTCATCCCCTGAAAAGCACGGTTAAAAAATGTCAGCAAGCAAAGCAAGAAAAAGTTCAACTTATAAAGACGAAGTTACAAGGGGGAACAAATTGAAGCTTGTCTTCTTCCTACAACATAAATGCATGGACTCTTTAGTGGTATTAGTAATAGGTCTGGAGATAGTAATACTAATAGTAATAATCTGCTACTACTATCACTGATAACAGCTACAACAATAAAAATACTCTGCCTAACAAATTTTTAAGAAAACTATTGTTAAGAATTGCAACAATAACAATAATAATTTCAATTGTGGTAGTGGTAGTGGTGTTAAGATAATGCGTAAGTAGTAGTTGTACTAACTAGTACTATTGTTATCACTAAGAAAGAACAAATATAAAACTGTGAACAATCTATAATGTAGGAAAATTTCTTTAAGTGGTGGGCAGTAATAGATAAAGGTCCATTTACAATAACCCCCATTCATCCATAGTAAACGTCTCTCGAAAATTACTCTGTAGTGACCATATTTTAATAAAATATCAAAAGTCAGATGTTCAGTAAAAATGAATAATGTACTCGATGTATATTCCTATAATGGTCTTAGTCAAATTGACAAAAAAAGCCACATAGTACCTGGAGAGTATTAGGAGCTGATGGTAACTCCATGTGAGTAACCAAGTGATCAGAGAAAGATACTCTTTTCAGAGCATATAATTCCCATGTTGAGGTGTTCCCAAGGACCAACCACCATGCTTCGTTTTTCACCTGTAAAAGAGAATCTGAAGCTCAGTTTGGTTTCTCATTACTAGTTTAGAACAAGAAATTTTTACCTTAGGGAAACGCGGGGTAAATGCTCTTGATTTGTTTTGCCTGAAATTGGTCTTCACCAGTCTGATGTCTAAAGAGCGAGACTTTCCGCTGTCCTTTTGCTGAAGTTTTAATTTCACTTCAATGCGTGGAAAAGGCTGCAGATCCTAGAACAACGAAAAATTGTAGATGCAAAGCAGCCAAAGCTACTGAAATCAGTTAACATGCCTGAAAGCCCATAACTGACTTGTATTTCAATAACTTACACAGCCCACTCAAAAAGTTGTCCAGTCATGTTAAATCTTGACCTGTGGGTTAGTCAGCCATGTGTCAACTATCTTAGAAGTCCGTACCTGATACAATTTTGAAGCAGGAAAATTTCCAATCATGGTCTGCAAAGTTGCCTTGGGGAGATACAATAGTTGCTGTACGCTGAATATTCCTCTTTTGCTTAGCGAGTCAGCAAGTTCAACATTCATGCATGGCATCATCCATAAGGAAGAATCCCTATCAAACCATAAACCCTGAAAAGAACCCAAAAGATATGAGAAGAGGCTAGGCGCTGAAAACTCTACTTTCTTGAGGAACAAATCATCCGAGTCAAAGAGTAATTGTTAAAAATAAATAAATATATAAATCAAATCTTCACCTTTTTCAGAAACAATTAGTGTACCATTTAAGTGCAAGTGTCGCACATTGTCCTCACAGACAAAAATATGGCTAAATTCCAAAGTGGCCCTTCTAACAACATTTTAATGAGTAAGTCATAATTTCTCACGTTTTAGGAGTCTCTGAAGGTCTGGTTAACTACATCCAATCCTTCCTTAGGCCAGATAAATCTACCTAAATAAGACAATACAGAATTGTTATAGACAGGCATCAATTTTCTAGTTGATTCTTCAGAATACAAAATCCTCAATGATATTAACACCTGGAATTTCTTATTTGTCATTTTGTAGAAGGTTTGAGTCCTACTGAAATGGATCTATATTTTTTTAGGGTAATGTACTGTGAAAAAGAAAGACACAAAAGAGGAGCTTATCTTGGAAGACAAAGGAAAAAACAAAACAAGATAAACAATACAGGAAAGAGGCATGGACTAACAACATTCAAGGGTGCTCAGCATAGCCGATTAACATCTCTAACTAATCAACTGATATGCTGGCAGTAGAATGTAATAATATTAACAAGGCAGAATGCCAATTTGCACTCGTCTTTTATTCTGGGCAAGTACTACTAAGAAGTCAGAATTGTAACTACTAAGAAGAATACCTGCATGACCATTTGCAGAAGATGCATGCAAGTAATTGAGCTTGAAATCCACCCACTGTTAGCACATATATCTATCATGGCCTGGATGATTCGTATACTTTGATCCAATACTGACTTCAAGTCTGTGACGTAATCACTGATTGGTAATTCTAACTGCGAGAAATGTGCCTGAATGCAGAATTCATGCTTGGTAAGAGAATAAAACGATGAGAGAACTAAAAAGGAAAACGATAGGACAAAACATATAGTTGAAGACAACTCTGACCTGAAATAGCAGATTGGCTTTGACATGTGGATCATCTAAGCGGTCCTTATCCACTTTATATCGAACTCTCTCAGACAATGCTTCATTGTAATTCTCCTATTATCAAAGAAGATATTACAGTTCGAAATCAAGAAAAAGATCTCATAATTTTTTAATACTTAAAATTCACTATGATCCGATGTAGAACTTTAGGTTGTCTTTGTGGTATGCAAAGAAAAACATATTCTTGTTAGCAAATTTGTATGGAGGTAGAATGATTCCATATGACGCGATATATGATATAAATAGGACTGATACCACTTCGCTCACAAGCTAGTTGTTATAGGTCAAGTGTTAATTGTCTCCATTTTCAGAATCCACGGTTAATAGATCACTCAAGTGTGCCTCATTATGAATCCAAATAAAAAATAAAAAAGCAAGTACCCAAGTAAAAGCCAACCACAGACTAATTACCTCGTTATGCCGCACAGGAAGTTCGTTATATTCCGAAGCAGCAGATAGGATATGCAAGAAGACCTGAAGTACAGAACCTTTTAAGCAAAACGGCATAAAAAGTAGAAGCGAGAAATTAGAATGCTGAATAAAAATATTCAAGAACCATTTCTTACTTCAAGCGATGTATCTGATCCTATGTTTGAACCAAACATTGATACAGTCATGTAGCTAAGATAATACTGGGATGCTATTGAACCCAGCATCGTTGGCTCTACATTGTCTTCATTCATCTTGATGCATCCACTGTCTTCCAGATCCTCAAATGTGTTTTGCACTAACCTGCCAAAATAATCAATAAGTAATCAAAGCAATGCCACCGAAAGAGAAAGCATATCCTGATTAAAAAAAAAATCCATGAGAATTGAGCATGGTATTACCTAGACAAATAAGAGCTGAGAACTTCAGGTTCAGTATTGTCCAAGCCATAGTAAGCTGGATTAAACATCTGCAGAAATGCTCATGTAAGATATTGTACAGGCTCAATAAATCAAATACTAAGGACACAAAATAATCAAAACCAAAGGCTTTTAATTTGTGTCTTCACCATATTTAAGTACAAGAGGATCATTGTGCTGCTCTTGTCACAACAGCAATGCAAATGATAGGTGTTCTGAACTTTTACAGCAAAAAAAGATAGGTGTAGAGTATTGAAAAAATAAAAAGGAAAATGCTTTATTGATTAGATATAGGACTGCAAGACTTCATCCATTGACTTTCTTAGAAGTTCTGATATTCAAAACCCCAAACAACCTGATTCCTAGTATTTGAGGCGAACATTCAGAACATGATTTACCACTATGGGCACATCTGGCCATCCCTAATAGACTAGCTATTAATTGATCATGCATATTGAAAATTTGACTGCTTGTGATATGTGTGGTGAAAGTAATATGATTTCTGTTTATTAATTGTTAGGCGGGCGGATTGTGATGAACATCTACTCCCATCTTTCTTGTAGATATATTTGTTTCTATATTTATTTAAAGTTTGTGTTTCTTTTACAAAAAGAAGAAAAATTATGACTAGAATCTGAGCAACTGTTGATTATAAAGGGAGAAAAGCATGTAATCTGATTCACATATTTCTTTCTTTCCATTTTTTATTCTATAGAGTCATGTGACCAAAACCATACCAGTCTACGAAATAAATATGTCCAGGTAAGATAATGCAATGCATCCTCTTTATGGCAAATTGTGCCAGAAACTATCTCAGCATTGATGTGATTGTGCAACTGTTCCCTCAGACTGCTCTCAACGGGAAATGGTTCATATAAAAACTGCAATGCATAAAACCACAAATTATTCCAGCACCTTATGAAATATAGCATTCCACTAACTATACAAAGTTCACCACATCAAATCTAACCTTTTTATAGAAGCTCTTTTTGGGTTCATGAACAAGAATGACTGCTTTCCCATGTTGATCAAATTGTGGGGCGGCCAGCACGACCCATCATTTGCAAGATATCTGTGATTGGAAAATCAACATATCTCTTTGTTTTCCCATCATAATATTCTGTTCCCTGCAAGAGAATCAACAGTTCTGTAAATTTGTCCTGAAGAACAGCTGCTGCAGTATACTCCAGATAGAAAGCTTTGTAAATCTAGGAACCAAATGAAAAAGATACCGCACAAATTTTGCCTTACCTTAATAATGACCAGATGAGCTGGAAGGTTTACACCCCATGCCAATGTGCTGGTACAAACCAATACCTATAATTCAATATATATGCCTAATCAGTATATAGAGTAAGAAAATGATCTTTTTATATTCTCCTTTCCTAATGTGTTTTTCAGGAAAGACTCATGATTACTGAGGTAAAAGAGAAATGCCTGAATTTTGTTGTTTGCAAAAAGCTCCTCAACCAGAGATCTATCTTTGTCATTCAGACCGGCATGGTGTAATCCAATTCCAAACTGCAAGGTGTGCCTCAGGTTATTATCAGTGACCTGATAAAGAACCATCTGTAGGGCTTCTTCTGGCATGCTAAGAAACTGCCTTGGATGTTCATCTGATGTTGCAAACTTCAATTACAGAAAAGCACAAAAAAATTAGTCAACAGTTATGGAATGCTTCATAATTCCAGTATGACCTTGAATCCAACCTGAATGAGGTCCAATGCAGTAAGCCTTGTCTGTCGACGAGAAGAAACAAATATTAAAACTGGTTTCGTAGGTGAATGGGTGCCTATTGCAGCATATGCTGGCTTGTTCATGCTATTCATCCTTGGGCAATAGAACTTTCCAGGGTATCCCTGTTCATAAACTGACATATTACTGCTATGAAGTAAATATACATGAGGCCCTTATCTACTTTCATCTCAACATGAAAAAGGCACACGTGTACAAGCAGACACAGCTCCACATGTCTACCTCATCTAGTGCACATCATCACTATCATAATAATAGGTAAGCTAACATGCATAGATCAAAAGGAAAACAGTATAATTTGTGTGGCCACATATCCAATTTTAAATACCTTTGTATGTAATATCTCTCAACACGTGTATGTACTATTGAGAAAAGATACAATTACATAGGACTAAGTGTCCAGTGAGATACAAATTTAACAGCTAATATTAATGCAAAGGATTGCAGACCATGATCAGAAAATCTCACAATTAACTCTGCATCTAAAAATAACTACCATACCACTATTGTTTCTATAAAACCAAAACAATTACAATAAAACTTAATAACACAGAACAAGAAATAACAGAGAAGTTGTTACAAAGTAGCTTGCAAATTTAAGGACATTATTCCCCAGGAGAACAAATTGACAAATCATTTTAAAGTAGAACAGAAAGACTGAAAATGAAATCAGAATCCATTTGAAACACTAAATCAATTACCTGGATATGAACTTCAAGAGGTACAGGTCTCACGCTTGGTTTGAAATTGAAGAGTCCGATTTCCCCAACACCCAGCCAATCAGCCAAATCCCTAAGTAATTGCAACGTCATAAGAATATACGAACATAATATATTAAGCAAGGATAAAGAGAAAAATAAACCAATTCAAGTGCGCCAATTCCACAAAAGAGCATAAAGCACGTGACAACTACCACTCTTGCTTAGCTTTGCAATTGTATAAAAGCAGTATAATTAAAACATGCCCAAGAATCCTGATAATATTGATGACAAATTAAACCATATCTAACTAAATAATGCATCAGAGAGGGTTGCATTGAGTGATCTACAAACATATGTCACTCAAGGATCCAACTCGGCATCAGATGTACGTATGGCAACAAATTATTTATACATAAAAAATACTAGAGGACTTCGAAGTGAGATAACACGATGCTAGGATTGAAGATACATAAAAACATACCCTGCATTTGCTAAAGCTGTAGAAAGGCCTACAAACCGTACTTCACGCTCTGTCTGTGATGATATGTATCTCATCCTTGACACAATAACCTGGAACATAAAAATTGCACTCAAACCCAGTCCAACAAATATGTGCTGGTTTCCATCAAATTTGTACATATAATTTTGCAAACATTACATAACTATTTAAAAAATAAGGGATCCAATTATAAATAACAAAGATTCAAGAAATATTTACAGGATTGAATTAAGATTGGCAGACTTATGAGCCTAATACTAACCTGCTAAGTAATAATACAAGAAACATGAAATTGAAAAGTTTACATTCAACAAGGAATAATGCTATCACAAGACTTTCCTTCAGAAATCAAGCCATTTATCTACTATTTCGTTACATATGAAAATAAAAAATAAAAAAATTGGTAAAGAATAAAAATAGAGAACAGAAAGCCTATGATAAAAGTTAATCACACTTGACTCTAGATCACAAATTACAAAAGTTGCTCCAACTTGTACAGAGGTTGATAACCCTAATACATACATTAAATACAGACCTAAAAAAACATGCACATTAGATATATTTAAAGTTGAAAGAACTATTAACTGTTTTAGAAAAGTCCTTTAAAGTAGTATGTCTTTCTAATATTAATGAGAAAGTCTTTTCATATTACAACAAACACCACGTTGGAAATAAGATGCCTAATTGTTATTTGAAAAAGCTCAGGCAGTGTTTCGAAAACTAAATAATATAAGGCGCCCCACAACTTTCCTTAGTTAATAAGTCTCTATGTCTTTTATTTGTAGAACATTTATGTTCATCATCTTTATGATATTATGAATATATAAAAAAAGTAAAGTAATAAAAGAATAGTTTTCCTTCTCCAGAAGTATATCAGTTGGTCATCTAAAGAATAGTGTCCACACACGCATATGGAGATATGTATCTGCCAGTTGCCACTGCAGCATGAAAATAAGCAAGTTCATTTCTCTTATATGTCAAATTTTGTGATTTAGAACCCAATGGAGCAGAACTTTTGAAGCATCCCATTATAAATCCTTTACAAATTAAAGGAATAGCTACATTCAATCCATATATTCATTGAGTTACCTCTTTTATTTGAGTTGAATAAATAATTTGAAATATTATAGGGGTAATACTTGATGCTCAAAACTCAAATTTTACTACACAATCCATAATATCAGTAAATATGTTACACAAAGTGTGACCCAAAAAAAGGATGTTACACAAAAAACTATTGGTTCATTTTAGCTTAGAGCACTAGAGTTTTGCAAAGGTACCTCAAGGATGGGTCCCCGGTCAGCTCCCAACAAGTGAATCTCATCCAAGATCATAAGCCCAACCTACTGATGAAATACACACATTAAGACATAGCTTGCACAATGACTTGAGAAGATCTAGTGGAATTCAAGTGTGCAAAAAACAAGTAAAAAATTAAGTAGAAAAGTAATAAGACAAATAAACTCCTGCCTTCTTGAAGAAGAAAAAAATAATAATATGTGGATGAATGAATGCACCTTTTTAACATAGGCTCGACTATGCCAATTACGACTGATACCATCCCACTTCTCAGGAGTAGATATTATGATATCCGCTGACAATATGGCCATCAAATCTGGAGTATAATCTCCGGTCATTTCAACCTGATAAACGATTGAGTTATTACCAGTACCACATGTTAAGATGTTATTTATAGCTATAAGGGGAAAAAATTCACCATCTTTTTCCCTAGCTGAGAGACAAGACGTCTTTTCCAATCATTCATTCTTTCCCGAACAATAGCCTTCAAAGGTGCTATGTAAATTACCTACAGTCAACAATTCAGAAACAGTACACTTTAGTGTATAAAGCAGCATTCAAAACACGTAATGGAGCACAAAGATCATACACCAAATGTTTCACCCGCACAAAAAGGAACCTCAAGTGCAGAATCAAAATTTTATACTTAACTACAGAGCATACTATTTGATGATAATCAGAATCAAATCACAGCAGAGCTGTATGGTATGAAAACACACAAGTAATTCAGTCTATAAATTTGATAAAATGGGGAAGCATAAGATCAGGTGAGTAGTGACAGTGATTTCCTAGCTTTACCCAGATCAGCACCAAGAAGTGCCGTCTTCCGGAAACAAACCAAACCCTTTCTCGTTTAACATTTCTCTATCTATTCTTATTCTGTGTTATATTGTATACAGAAAAGTGGAGGAGATACCTTCATATCAGGTTGGGTATTGAATAGGCGAAGCATAGCGAGCTCAGCAGATATAGTTTTCCCACTTCCAGTGGGAGCTCCTAATAGAACATTATTGTCTGTGTGATACAGGACATGGAAAGTCTGCCCAATTCCGGAAAAAAAGTATCAAGTCATTGAAATGTGATGGGTCCGCCTGAAAATAAAACACGAATAAAAGGTGTAGAACCACTGAACCAAACCTGTGTTTGTATTGGATTAAAGTGTGAAAATCTGTACAGCGCTTCATAAATACTGTTGCCAAGTGAAGTCACAGGGAGAGGCTTCAAATCTAGCAATTCTGTGTGTGAAGTACTAGCCTGAAGAAACCAATAGTTTTCTGATGAGACAAACCTTTTGGCAGGAGTACCTTGGCATTTATGAAACAAATAAAAAAATCCACCATATCCTAACAAACAATAAAATATAAATACCTCTGGCAGTGCTAGATTCTGGAAGGATATGGTGTAGAAAGCCTCTGCATGCAACCAAGAATCAGAAACAGCACGAATATAATACTGAGGTGGATGTGGCTCAAATATTGGCACAGTGAATGAAAGTTTCTGAGGTTCCCCTTTTGCCATCCGCTTTGTCAGAGTGAAAAGCTCTGAGTGGTAGATGTGGTCATTCTCAGAATCCTATAATGCAAGATAAAATTTAAAATATCAATCAAAATTTTGTTCTTTAAACATGTATAATATATGAAGCCATGACCCGCACAAAATTAACTAGAAAGTGGATACCACATCAGCACCTCAACTAGAATCCACCAACGCTGGGCCGTGCCATGAAAACGATCTTTCCATATAAAGTCTGGTGTAATAACCAAATCCACCTGAAAATTAAAAAAAAAATTAGTATTTCAAAATATAATTCTTGAATGATGAGTCAACAATATTTAACGAGGTAGAAATTACTATAAAAAGAATTATGACACAAGGGAAGCTACCTTTAAAACAGTTCTGGTGATTGGACTTACAGTTGCTGACAACTGGATCCATGGAAAATATCCCAAATATTGCTTGACCAACTTCAATTAGCCAATGAAAGAAAAGGAAAAAAGGGTTAAACAAATTTCTTATTGTTTGGTGTATCCAACAGGGTGAACTTTAAAGCACCATACTAAAGACAATATACCCTTCCTCCAGGTGAATAGCGAATCAGTGCTCCAATGTCTTTTTCCTGCATCTCATATAGGTGATCTATGTCAGCCCCTCGTTCTTCAAGCTTTCGCACTATCTGTATGAATAGAAACATAAGTTCAAACAACGGATTACACTTTCTGCAATTAATATTATAAAAGTAAGTTGTACAAACTTCTGCTGAAAGATCTCTGTCAAATTGTCTGAGAGGATGCTGATGGGGCCAAACTTGGCGATCCACAGCCTTGCAATATTCCAACATGAACAGTGACATCTCAGACCAGCCTTTTCGTAGACAAATCTCGAATAATGCCCGCATAATGCGTGCCAAGCTTGCACTTATGTATGCAGCATCAGAAACCAACGAAAAGGTATCAATCGAGCCACGAGATATGTACAACTGCAAACACACATAAGCCATAAATTAGTCAACAAATATTTCCTTTTTCTAACTTCTTCACTAGCATTTGGTACCAGTTGAGCATAAAGCAACCTGAATGAGAATGGATATCTTTCCATGTTTATTTGAAGGACCCCCCTTAACTTCTAATGGGCACGATGATCGCACCAACGTCTCTAACTCATTCTGTTCCTCATCTCGAACAACAATATTTTCAAATTCAGAAGAGTGGGCTACCATGTCTATTACCTGAAGGAACAGAAAAAGCAGCACCAGCGAAATCAAATTAAATGATAATTATTAAAAAGAAACTCTATATTACAAGAAATACAGAGAAACATATTTTGAGGCTGTGCATAGGATTCTTTTCTGAAAACGAGTTTGATAGCAGAAATGAATGGGGGTGTAACTGGTAGGAAAATAAATTTAAAATACAGATAAAATATTTCACAAAAACAATAACCTCAGTCTCATTCATGTGGCGTCTCAACATTTCATTGTATGTTTCAACACTTGAGTATTGAATATAAAAGTGGCTTGCAATTCGACCAAGCTCTGTACAATAAAAGTTGCCACTTTTCTCATCAAAGCGCATCATTTTCGCTTTGTCCAGGGCACGTGCAGCATCTGCTATGAGAGCTCTTTGCTTTAAACTCAAGGAAGGATCAGCAACAACCTGCAAAAGGCAGAAGAAAATATCAATAACCTGAAACAAGCAAAAGCAAATATCCTATACATAAGCACCATTAAAGACAAATGAATTATACATCATGCCCTCTTGAGAATAAAGTCAGGCGGCCTGTCAAGAAATGTTCAACAAGGATCAACTAATCAACCATATAGGTAAAGTCAAATCAACATAGACTACCTCATCCCACCCAATACCATACACCAAAGGGTTCAGCCTCATTCTTATGAAAAGGTACGTATATCCAAGCCATGCACAAGCTTCCTTGACATTGGTGACAGTACCAAGTGCCACCTCTGCATTTAAATTGTCTTTCAAGGAACTAATAAACTGCATAGAGAAAATTTAAGAACAATAAGGAAAAGTGAATCATCTTAACATATCCTTGGATAACTTCAAACACACAAACATGCAAAACTCAGAGCTTATAACACACAAGAATGTTATCATATCACCATTCTACTTCATTTTATTTTTTATCAAATTCTACTTCCTTTTATATAACATAAAACTTTAGCATGCGGAGGACTTTTCTTTGCAGCATGTCAAGGCATAATGAAGTACCAAAAGGCACATCCGGATCAATGATACCTTGGCCTAGCGCTTCCGGATCTACTAAAATTGACTAATAAGCAAAATTTGAAGTGTACCTTGTCCCACAAATTAGTTACACTTTCAGATCTAAAGCGGAATGATAAGCAATGTTTAAAGTAAATAATCAAATAAATGCAGATTCAAAACCACCTAAAACTTATCTGAATATGTCAAAACCACCTAAAGTTGACTAATAAGCAATGCAAGGACTGTCTAAAATTTAACTAGGTACTTGACATTAGGAATAAGAGGAACTCACCCACTGACTGACCTGGCTACATACATAACATAACGTTCCAAGCTCTCACTTAAACTACACAAGTACCTGACTTTCTATAGGAAGTTGGCTTGTCAGCAACCGCAAATAGTAGGCCAGTTTGTCATGAGATGTAATTATAATGCCTTCACCACTTTTGTCGAATTGAGGTCTCCCAGCCCGTCCAAAGATCTAAAGAAATATATCATGAGAACAGAAAAATAAAAAAAACATATGATAAATTTTACTTAAGATGTATTTACAAGAGAAGAGCTTTGAGTCTCACCTGCATAACATCTAGCATGCCCAGGTCTCGCCACCCGCCAGCCTTTGGATCATATAATTGAGTCCCCTAAAGAAAACACCAGGTACCTCAAATATAATGTTTTTTTTTTCACATCTTGCATCTTTAGAAAATTAACGTACCTAAATTAGCACAAAATTTAAGCCATGGAGATAAAAAAATAATTTCAGAAATGCGCACAAACCTTTATCACAACAGTATGAGCTGGTAGATTTACACCCCATGCCAAAGTTGCCGTACAAACAAGTACCTAAAACAGAAAATAACACTATCTGAAAAATATTTCAGCCAAATATATTAGTGCTGCTACAAAGGGTAACTAGATGATATCTACCTTCAACAGTCCATCAGAGAAAAGGCGCTCAGTCAGCCCTCTATCAGTACGTAACATCCCAGCATGATGAACTCCAACTCCAAATTCAAAAAGTGCAACAAGATCTTTGTTTCTGGACTTCATAACTTCCCTCTGAAATTCATAAAATGATGCATGTATTAAAAGATATAAAAGGTGTGATACTAATAATAAGATCCAGGAAATAAATGATTCTTTCTTCTTCTTTTTCCCTGCCTGGATCAACGAAAATTGTGGGTGGTCATCATTCTTAAAATACTCCAGTCCTTCAAACTTGCGAGCAAGTTCAACCTGTTCAACATGTAATAAGTAGTTAAAAGTGAAAGCAGAGCATAACACACCACACATGATTGACATTGAAGAATTATAAAAAATTGAAACTAGCTCATCTTGCTATGATATGATAAACCACATTGGTGGTTGCTCTATAAGAATTTAACTGTCACAAACAGATTTTCTTCTTTCAGATTATATGTAATATCGCATCCCCAATTGCATCCCTTTCAAATTATACCAACATGGTCCTTATAATCCATTTAACTGAAATCTTAAGGAACTTCAAAATTATCCCAATAAGTTCACACATGTAAAATCAAACTTCCAATGATTACTGCATCAATACAGATCATAGTTTTTTAGTACATTAATATATTTATTTTTCACTTAAGTCATATTGTTGATAAATTTTATCTTTTCGAACCAAAGCAATATCATTAACTTGAAAACTAAAAACAATATAAGAGAAAAGAAATGGCACATATTCTCCAAAGGAAACATATTATACAAATATCAAGGCAATTACTATGGCTGAAATCAAAACTTGCAAGGAATCGTACTGGTCCAGCTGATGCAATTGCATCAGCAACCAACTGAAGCTTCCTCCTTTTTGAAGTCAACATGACTAGTTTATTATTAACACTTGCAAAAAAGAATTTCAACCAATTAGAAACCCACAAAAGTAAGATGGAATATAAAGGTATACCAATTTCTGAGCTGTCTTTGCTGTGTCCTTTCGAGAATGAACGAATACCATTGCCTGATAACCTTGCCTGAGTGATTCAACAACCTGGCAGAAAAAGTATCAATCAGTTAAATAATCGTTCTAATACATACATTACACAAAGGAGAGCCCAAGGAAAAAGAAACCTTCTTGTAGCATATCTCATTCTGCAATTCAATACGGGCTGTAAAATTCTGCTCACTAATACCAATATACTGCTGTGCGAGGGGCACTGGGCGATAACTAGAATCAAAGAAGAAGAGTCCTGCTTCTGGATTCACTCTCAGAAACTGTGCAACCTGGGTGGTTATAAAAGAATAATCCACATTAACAAATAAATAGAATAGACTTCAGAGTACAGCATTTCAAGGCCAAAAAATACAGATAAAAGATATCATCAGGTGAGCAAAATACCTCTAAATAGTTCGGTAGAGTAGCTGAAAGGCCCACAATGCGTATCATTGTCTGTGTAGACTCCACCTGCCACACACATTTTATAAAAAAAACAACAAAAAAAGAGTAAACAAAAGGTCATAAGCAACTAAATTTTTTGCAACCAACCATAAACTACATAAGTAACATGTAAGTTGTAACAGACATCTGATAAACATTTTAAATATAAACATCCCGCTATCACATTAACCCTAATAAGAAACAGATAATACCTCTCCAACTTTCATAAGCACAAGTTGCAACTGTACAAATGTTCTCAACTAATTTAAATAGTGCGGTAGCTATTCAGCAGAAAGATGCCAAGAACACTAATAATTCAGTAAAAGTTTACCTGGCGCAAAGTTCGAGCAACTAGTGCCTCAATTACAGGGCCTCTATCATCATTTAATAGATGCACTTCATCAATAATTAGGAGCTTCACCAACATTGAAAGTGACATGTCACTGCTCTTGCGAGTAATGACATCCCATTTCTCAGGTGTTGTCACTATCATCTGAATAAGAAGAAAGTGAAGTCGTTAAGATTTTCATTTTCCTCTTTTGGGTAACAGTTAAAAGCACACGGATCACACAGAATTTGATAAAAGTGACCTGAGTTTCTTCAAGTTCATTCTTAGAAAGTTGCATGTCTCCAGTAAGTTCTCTCACAGTCATATTCAATGGAGATAAGCGATGGCTAAAAGTTGATGTAACTTCTGCAGCTAATGCCTGAAAAATACATGATAATAAATAACAAGCCACTATTTCAATGCCTACTTTCCCACCCCACCCGCTCAGAAAAAAAAAAGGAAGAGAGTTATATAGGGTGGATACCTTCATTGGTGCAACATAAACTATCTTAAATTCATCTTTATGCAAGTAACCATCTTTGAAGTGCTGTCCAATCTGCCACAGAAAATGCCTACTCACTATCTAAATCTCAGAATGGATGTTATACTTCCATACTGAATATTTTCAAAGACTAAATAGGTTGAATTCAACATGAAAAGTACTATAAGTACATCGCCATGACATAAAAGGAGTCGAATAACTAAGGCAGCCAAAAGCTTAGTCCTTGCTTTATTTTTCAAGCTGATATCTTTAACACACTAACCCTCCCAGAAAAATATATCAGCTTATATGACAGTACAGCTGTTCCCTTGGCATTTTAACTATGCAATTAACCCAGATTAACTCATACACAATACAAAACCAAATGTGTAAATTTGAGATCAAGCCAGAGTAGTAAGAGAAAAAGTATGATTGCCAAAAATGAGAATAGAGACCCAGGAATAGCCAAGCATTTGCATACCTCATGTAGAATAGAAACCATAGCTATGTTTGTTTTGCCAGCTCCTGTTGGAGCACAAACCTGCAAGTAAATGGAAATCACATTCAAGCATATCATATCAGCACTTTCACTGCAATGGTTTGGTATTCACATAATCAACAGAATCAATAACTTACTAGTATATTTTCATTAGTGTAATAAACAGTATGAAATATGCGGCTCTGAATACGGTTCAAAGACTTATATCCACGAAAAGCAGCTTGAGCAAATTCATCTAACTCCGTTATCTCAATCTGACAGCATAAGACAGTAAACATAAATTGCAATAAAAGAAATGGAGGTCAGTAAGTGATAAAAGAAATAGCAAGCAAGGACAATCCTATTTGTTTAACCACCAGAAAACACGCAAATTATTATGGCTAGTTTGCTAGAGAACTCCAATTGCATTACAAACTCCATACTGGAAATATATATTCATACAATTATCTTAGAGCTACAAAGAATTTCATGCTCAATATAATCTCCTAAAGAACGTACTATCCAGAGGCTTATACATGTAACCTACATTCTATCGAATCCCTTTCCCCTGTTCGAAATCAACACAAAAAAAAAGAAGATAAAATGTAGGCAAAACGAAGAAAGCCTCCAAGAAATATTTCTTTCTCTGGGACGGGGGCATAAGGGAAGTTTCTATAAGCTAGCACAAGTCATATCAGTCAACTTATAGGCCCTTGCGCAAGTTCCAAGATAGGACTACTTTGATTTCATTTCATAAGTTCATAAGTAATACAACAAAAGAAATTTTCTTTTTAGTTGACTGCCTTGATGAACAAAGAGTGGCAATGTTCTCTAAGAAGGACCTGTACACCAAGAATTCTTAATTTTATTTTATACTCTGTTCATGCTTTCTTCGCGTGTTTTGTATAATAAACTTGGCAATTCCTATTGGTCATGGAAAGAAAAAAAAACATGTCTAGTATTTCAATGTTATGAGAGCAGCTAGTATCTAAAAAACATAGGAGATTCACCCAATTGGGGTCCACTTGTGCATTTCCTAAAGGTCCCTATAAGTCATCTCCAATCATCAAATTTAAGTAAGAATATTGAGAACCAGTAAATAAAACTAAAATGGTAAACATAAAGTAGAATGAAGGAACTGCAAATGGGTACCAGCTTTTCTCCAGGTTTCATTTGTGCTGTTGGTGTTGGGGGAATAATGACCTCCTCATATCCCTTATGATGCTTCCTCACAGTTCCTTGAGGAAGAGCACTCACTGCTAAAGATTGAGGCCCTTCACCAAGCGCTAAGAGATCATCAACAGGATTTTTTCTTTCGCTTGCTTGTAGTAAAGAAGAAAAATTTACAGCAGCCAGTTCACTATCAGTGCCATATTCTGTTCCTCGTCTTTGTCGCTTTTCCTCTTTGCGCCGAAGTTTATCAATCTGTCGTTCAGTTTCTGTTTGAACAGTAACCTGAAAACAGATGTGTAATGCTTGATTCCATATGTTTTTGATGATTTATGTGTTAATGAGAACAAATCTTTTACATAAGCGGTTATACCTGTGTGCCATAACTAGGCATACGTGATTGAGAGCTTGAAGACAATTTGTCAGATTTCAGTCCCAGTAACCCATGATGGATGGCATCAACAAGTTCCTTTCGATGCTGGGAAAATATAGAAAACAATATTTAAAGAAGAAACTTTAGCTGTACACTTATCAAAGCATAAATTTGGAATAGACTTCTCTAACAAAAACCCATCCAATATGTATACCAAGATTGCCAGAGAAACAATTGTATCCTACAATTGAAAATGTGGTATGCTGTTAAAAGAGAGGGGAATGAACTTTGGATTTGAAGATCAAATCAGTTTATTTAACAGATAAGATCTCACCGCATGGCATAGTACCACTTCTTCAAATGAAGATCATGATGACACATAAAAAAGTGTACTGTGGGAAGGGGAATTTGTTTTGTCTATACATGTGTGTGTTAATGGTGTTTTGGAAGGAAAACGTAAAGAGTAACTAAGATTAGTTCAACAAAGTATTAGAATAATTATAGTCTTACTGATACGAGGTCTTGAACAGTTTCAAATGCACCATCCCCAACAAGATCTAACAAGACACCTGCTATCTTCATTGAGAAAATATCTCAAAATTAGTATGAAATCAGTTGTCTACAAAAACTCGAGAGTGAAACCCATAGCAAAAGTAAATGAAATTTAACGAGTACCTCGTCACCAGGTTTATCAGAGTCAAGCACCCGACAAATGGCCATAGCCAGTTCATCTCGAGAAAGCTGCGACCTACTTTTTGTCACTATCTGATCACATGCATCTTTTAACCAACTCAAATTGAAGCTTCGTCCATCAGTAGAAGGATGATGATCATTCAAGTTACCGCGACTATATAATCCTTCGTAATATGAAGAAGAAATTCCAGTGCTTTCCTCACCCAATAACTCGCCATCCTCCAAAGAAACATCCACCAGAAATCGAGCTGGTGCATGGAAAACAAGGTCAGCACCAAATTCCACATTGTCATGAGTCCCATTTACAGGCCTTTCTGAAACAAGTGTAGTCCCCTTATCACTGGACTGCATCCCTGCAAGTCTCTGGGCTAGGGAGGCAACTTTCCGCATGTTAGCATCTGAAACGGCGTGACCAAGTAGTTTGTGCACTTCCAGCCTGCATTTCAAACATGAGTAAACACAATTAAAATTCTTGAAACTTTTCTTCATTTTTATCCATAATTATTGTTAAAATTATTCACAATCTCAAACCCCAGATAATAAATAAATGAAATAAATACTCATTAGACACAATCCCAGTGTTCTTTAATTTTATCTTTATGACAAATTTAAACATCTTGTATAAATATGCACTGAATTGGTTTTATCCTTCGTGAGTCAAGGCTCGTTTGGGGTTCATAAGCGCTTTTTCTAGAAGCACTTTTATAAACACATCAAAAACCATTAAAAATCCAAGTGCTTCCAGGAAAAGTACTTGGGGTGCTTTTGTGACCCATAAACACTTTAATTTTTCTGCCAGACGTTGTCTAAAGCACTTTTGGATGTTAAAAGTGCTTTTAGACCTTCCAAAACCAGTCTCAAGCATGCCTTTAATCTGGTCTAGAACTGTTCAGTTTGGTATCTTGAGACTTAATTATTAGTAGTGGGATTTGAATAACGTGTTCATTGTGTTCCCGGAGGCCAGAGCACAAGAGATTCCTAAATGCAGTGACTCCGAAGTTTCTAAATTTTAAATATAATTGTACAACTAAAATTAACTTTACTTATCAAGAAAACAAAAACAAAAACAAAAAAAGCAAAATGTACTATCTGGATCTGCTAGCTTTTGGATAGATGCATTGCTTATTTCTTCCGGATATCCATGCACATTAACTATACTATAGTTAGTAAATATCATAATTTGAACATGACACCTCAACCACTTAAATACTAATTTAATTTCTGTCTGATAAAAAGGAATGTTAATTATTGGGAACATAATTCTTACTTTTTTCCGGCAATATTTGTTTCAACATTGTCTTCCTCCTCTGGCCTGCCAAAAAGATGGTACACGGTGAGTGCCACCTCACGAAACTCTTCGGATGGAACTTCTCCATCTATCAACTCCACCACAGCCCCAATAAACTGCTTGTAAGCTTGCCGCACTTCAATCGAAGCTGTCCACAAATTTTCAATTTATTCAACATATCATATACGACGTGGTATGTCCACAATTTCATTACAGCAAGTTGTCTTACCTTCTTCCCATCTATAAACTATCTTCCGTGCAAGCTCTGACTCATCAACTGAGCTCGAAGACCTACAGCATAAAGTTCAAAGGTTCAAAAGTTATTTTGGGATTAATTGATCAAAGACCAAGTAATTAGGAATTATACACAGCTTGACTAGTAAAAATTAGCACAAATTTCACGTGCCCAGCAGTGCATTACTCCTCCATTTGGTCACTAAGGAGCCTAAGGGGCGCAGAAATTTTATAGAACATGAAATTTCGATAACGTGCTTTGAACTTTTCCATTAAAAACCAGCTAAGCCAAATTGCATTAATCTCATTGCAGGGGAAAATTCGGTATTCCAAGTCCTATCTTATACTAATACGTTTCCTGCTTACTTTGCTTCACTTTTCCTAGGTTTTCTTAGCAACCAAACAGAACATTACAGTAAAAAAAAACTATGAGAAGGAAGAAAAAAAAGAGAGTGAATTGTTGAAAGGAAGTACTGGCGAGGCTTCTGGCTCTGAAGGATGAGCTTGCGCTGCAAATAGGCCTGGTCGATGTCAAAGGGCTCTCTCAGAGAGCTGGTCAGGCGCGGAAGCTGAACCAACATATTTTTCCTAATTCTTCAGCCTAAACGAAGCTTCGGTACTCCGATCCAATGTCAATCTTTGAGACTCAGGTTTTATAAGTAGGCTTTTGGGACAAGAAAGTAAATGAAGCAAGCGAACAAATGTATACGGATCAAGGCTCCGACCCCATTTTGTAAGCATTTTAAAAATATTATTTTAAATTCTTTTGTGTACTTAAAATAATTTTTGGACATCTCCTAGCTTTCAGAAAAACATTAAATATAATATTTTAAGAGTATAGCCGCGCGGCTATACTATATAATAATAATATTTAGAATATTAAACAGTAATATTTTAAAAGTAAAACTGAGCAGCTATACCCTATCCTTTGTAAATAGAATATTTTAAACAGCGAGGATGTACTATATAAATAGAATATTTAAAGGGAATACCCTCGCGACTATATCCTTTAAATAGCAAAATCTGAATTTCTCTTTATAAATAAATTTAATTAGTAGTAATGTTTTAATTATTATTTACAAAGTGAATTAGGTCCTACTATCCAATTCTGTCAATTTGTCCATCAAAATGAGGGGTAAAAGCGTCCTTTCAAGTTCGAAGAAAAATACTGAAAAAATAAATAAATAAACTTTAAAATAAAAATAAAAATCCCTCTCTTTCCCTCTGTTTCTCCCTCTCTCTCGCAACCCATTCCCCCCTCCGTATCCCACCCCCCTCAAAACACAGAGGAACACCGAGGAAGACCAACAACAACAGCAACAGAAATTGCAAGATCATTATATGTACAAGTGTAATGAGAAATCAATCATTCAAAGAGAGAGCTTGACGCTTGAGCGAATCGGATCGAATCGTATCTTTCTTCTTCTTCGATGGCTGTTTGTTTTCCGGGAAAAAAATAAGTATGTCCCTCAGTTGAAACTCACTTTCCCGGGAATGGTTCCAGTGCCAAAGAAGGACTCTTCTTGCTTTGCTGCCTTATCCAATCAATTCCTCATGATCCCATTTTGCATGTCGAAACTGGTGTATATAGTTTTCTCTTGACCCTTGTGTTTTCTGGATTTATTTTGTTTCTGGGTTTTCTTTGTGGCTTGAAATTATGGTTATTTGAGATCTGAAATTGTAGCCATGCTGGGTGTATTTGATTTGGTTGAAAATATAAAGTTTCATCTATTTCGGGCTGAGATTTGATGTGGGTATTGAAATTTCAAGTTTGATATTTGCTGGGTGATTGATTTTCTGGACTTTATAGATGAAGATTGAGATTGGTTTAGTAGGAGGTGGGGGTTGGGATCTGGTTTTGAGGGGGGAATGGGTTGCGAGAGAGAGGGAGAGGCAGAGTGAAAGAGAGAGGGATTTTTATTTTTAAGTTTATTTATTTAATTTATTTTTTCAGTTTTTTTCTTCAGACTCGAAAAGACACTTTTACCCCTCATTTTGACAGACAAATTGACAAAGTTGGACGGTAGGATCCAATTGCAATTATTTGTCCAGTTGAAGGATGTAATTGGCATAAAAAAAAATTCACGGACCCAATTACAATTGGGGGCCAAGTTCAGGGACGTCTACAGTAGATAACCCTGAATAATTAGTATTTAAATATTTTTTGAAATAAAAAATTAATAAAGATTAATTGCTATTTATACATGTACATAGGTATTTCCCATGTTTAATATAAGACACACAAAATTCACATATTATATACATAATTCTCATGTATTATTGAATAAAAATAATATATATTTTAAAACAAAAAAAGGGTATAGCTGATCAGCTATACGCAGTTTTTCCTAATTGCCTTAAAAATAGTATAGCCGTGCGGCTATACTCCTTTAAAAAAACAAAGATAGTATAGCCAGTGGGCTGTACGTGTTTGACACGTGGCGCACAGGCGCTGGTCGTGTCTATCCTTTTCAATTTTTTGAAAGAAATGGTATAGCCGAGAGGCTATACTCGTTTTTTCTTTTTTTTCAAACAAGAAATAGTATAGTCGCCCGGCTGTAATGTTTTGACACGTGGCACCTACGCGTTGAGCGCATCCTTTTTTAATATATAAATAGTATCACCGGCCGGCTATACTGTTTAAATTTTTTTTAAACTTATAATTAGTTTCTTTACTTTTTTTTTCCTACTTCTTTAATTCAATACTAGCCCCTTGGCACACGCATGTGCTAATTGGTTTTTATTTTTTATTTTTATAATTAAAAAAATATAGCATGAGTAGTTATGTTTCATAAAAGTAGGCTATATTATCTGATTTTGTTTTTAATTTTATTTATTATTTAATACAAAAAATTTATAGAAAAAGTCCACAAAATAATCAATTTATATTTACTAAGTCTTTTGTGAAATCGTTTGGGGGTCCTAATTAATTTTATCCATAGCCCAACAGCCATATCCATTACTATTAGGTCATTACTCGAGTATCTATTATCCGTTTTTCATTTTTTACTTTTTCAGAGTTATTACCCGTCTAAAGATTCTAGTGCCTTCACGTTTAATAATATAATACACGTACACACGTATTTCTCAAGTTTAATACACCTATGTTTTGCAAAAATTCAATAAGACACACGAAATTCACGTATTATACACATAATTCTCACGTATTATTGAATAAAAATAACATATATTTCAAAACCCAAAAAATAAGAGGTATAGCCGCCCGGCTATACTCATTTTTCCTAATTGCCTTTTAAAAATTGTATAGCCGCGCGGCTATACTCCCTTTTTTGAATTTTTAAAACAAAGATAGTATAGCCGGTGGGCTGTACGTGTTTGACACGTGATGCACAGACGCTGGTCGTGTCTTTATATACATATACTAGATCCTTTTTTATTTTTTGAAAGAAATAGTATAGCCGGCCGGCTATACTCATTGTTTTTCCCTTTTTTAAAATGAGAAATAGTACAGCAGCCTGGCTGTACTTGTTTGACATGTGGCACCTATGGGCTGTGCTCATCCCTTTTTTAATATATAAATAGTATCGCCGCTCGGCTATACTGCTTAAAATTTTTTAAAAACAAATAATTAGTTTCTTTACTTTTTTTCCCTACTTCTTGAATTACTTTAATTATTAATTATATTTTATTTATTGTTTGATACAAAAAATTTATAGAAAAAGTCCACAAAATAATTCATTTCTATTTACTAAGTCCTTTGTGAAATCGTTTGGGTGTCCTAATTAATTTTCTCCATAGCCCAAAAGCTCTATCCATTACTATTAGGCCATTATTCGAGTATCTAACGTCCCTTTTTCATTTTTTTACTTTTTCAATGTTATTACCCGTATAAAGATTCTAGTGCCTTCACATTTAATTATGTATTATACACGTACGCACGTATTTCTCATGTTTAATATACCTATTTTTTACAAAAAAAAATCAATAAGACACACGAAATTCACGTATTATACACATAATTCTCACGTATTATTGAATAAAAATAATATATATTTCAAAACCACCAAAAAAAAAAGGTGTATAGCTGCCCGGCTATACTCAGTTTTTCTAATCGCCTTTTAAAAATCGTATAGCCGTGTTGCTATACCCGTTTTTTTGAATTTTTAAAACAAAGATAGTATAGCCGGGGGCCGTATGTGTTTGCCACGTGGCGCACAGGTGCTGGTCATGTCTTTATATACATATATATAATTAGTATCGTCGGCCGGCTATACTAGATCCTTTTTGATTTTTTGAAAGAAATAGTATAGCCGTGCGGCTATACGTGTTTTTTTTCCCTTTTTTAAAATGAGAAATAGTACAGCAGCCCGGCTGTACTTGTTTGACACATGGCACCTATGCGCTGTGCGCATCCCTTTTTTAATATATAAATAGTATAGCCGCACGGCTATACGGTTGAAATTATTTAAAAACATATATATTAGTTTCTTTACTTTTTTTTTCCTAATTCTTTAATTCAATATCTATATAATTATGTAATGTATTATTATTTTTGAATTACTTTAATTAATAATTATATTTTATTTATTGTTTGATACAAAAAAATTTATAGAAAAAGTCCACAAAATAATTAATTTCTATTTACTAAGTCCTTTGTGAAATCGTTTGGGTGTCCTAATTAATTTTCTCCATAGCCCAAGGGCCCTATCCATTAGTATTCGGCCATTACTCGAGTATCTAATGTCACTTTTTCATTTTTTACTTTTTCAGAGTTATTACCAGTATAAAGATTCAAGCGACTTCACGATTAATAATGTATTATACACGTACGCACTCATTTCTCATGTTTAATACACCTATTATACACATAATTCTCACGTATTATTGAATAAAAATAACATATATTTCAAAACAACAAAAACAAAAAAGGGTATAGCTGCCCGGCTGTACTCGGTTTTTCCTAATTGCCTTTTAAAAATAGTATAGCCGTTCGACTATACTCCCTTTTTTGAATTTTTAAAACAAAGATAGTATAGCCGGTGGGCTGTACGTGTTTGACACGTGGCGCACAGGCAATGGTTGTGTCTTTATATACATATATATAAGAGAGTTTCACTAAAACACCCAAAATGGGGGCTGAAATTATAAAAAAATCCAACACCCAAAACACTTTATAAACACACCAAAAACCCATCATTACACACACTCAAAACCCATTTATAAACACACCCAAAAAATATACAGTTGTTGATTTTTGGTGTGTTTCTATATTTAAATAGTGCTTGGGTTTTTTTTATAAATACATGTCTAAAATTGGGTTTATTTATAAATTTTTATATATATAATTAGTATGCGCACAGGCGATGGTCGTGTCTTTATATACATATATATAATTAGTATAGCCGGCCGGCTATACTAGATCCTTTTTATTTTTTTAAAGAAATAGTATAGCCGTGCGGCTATACTCGTTTTTTTTGCCCTTTTTTAAAATGAGAAATAGTACAGCAGCCCGGCTATACTTGTTTGACACGTGGCACTGTGCGGCGATATTGTTTACATTTTTTTTTAAACATATAATTAGTTTATTTACTTTTTTTTTCCTACTTCTTTAAGTCAATATCTATATAATTATGTAATGTCTTATCCTTTTTGAATTACTTTAATTAGTAATTATATTTTATTTATTGTTTAATACAAAAAATTTATAGAAAAAGTCCACAAAATAATTAATTTCTATTTACTAAGTCCTTTGTGAAATCGTTTGGGTGTCCTAATTAATTTTTTCCATAGCCCAAGAGCCCTATCCATTACTATTAGGCCATTACTCGAGTATCTAATGTCCCTTTTTCATTTTTTACTTTTTAAGATTTATTATCCGTAAAAAGATTCTAGCGCCTTCACGTTTAATAATGTATTATACACTATGCACGTATTTCTCATGTTTAATACACCTATTTTTTACAAAAATACAATAAGACACAATAAATTCACGTATTATCTCCTACATATTAAAATCATGATTAACTACTTAAAATCATTGATGGTAATGGCGAAAGAGAAACACAAGCTAAAGTATAAGGACTATGTAATTTAAAATTTGAATGGAAAGAATACCATGATTAACTACTTATTCACATATGTTATGGTTAAGTTTGTTGGAAGTTTGAATGAATTTCAAAGACATTTGTCCCACATTGGTAGAAAGAAGAAAGAGTAGGGTCTTTATAAGTGTAGAAGTTCCACACTTAGCAGATGGAAGTTGGGCCAAGTGGAAGCCAATTGGATTTCAAAATTAATTTAGGCATTGAATATTATATAAATAATCAATTATGTTTAATTATCAAAAAGATGGGCCTTGGGGCATTTGGGCACTTTCAGATTTAAATTAATTTTTTAGTTTCAAAATTAATTATTATTTTTTATTAATTTGGATTAGTTTAATTAACTGTTTTATAGCATTGGATTTTCCGGGTAAATTCTTTATTAGCGCATTCTAATTATAGACTTAACTTGGGTAATAATGGGAAGCCCTCCATTGTAAACTAAAGACTCTTTCCCAGTACATGGGTGATATTAAAAGCTATTATTAAACGCATCAAATATCTCTCCATAGGTCGGCAACTAAGAAAAGTAGCATTGCGTGAGGCCCACGAGACTGGGCCCAATAACGACCCCATTACCCACGGCAAGGCCGCTCTCTTCTTCTTCTTCTTCTTCTTCTTCCGATCCAAGCTTTGATCCGCTGCTGTTTGTTTACGTTGTCTGAAACCCTAAAACTCACCGACCTATAACAATCCGGAAAATCATTATCAAAAGCTCTCGAGCATGAACAAGGACGTTGCCTAAGGCTAGAGTCCATGAGGAAAAGATGCTGGTTACTGCAACCTCACACCTCCTACATCAGCGCACTTTAGCTCCAACCAGTCTTCCTCAGATTCGATCACCATGTCAAGGTCCGTCGCCTTTCTTTTTGTTTTCTATCGTTTTGCTTCAGCTAGTTAGTTTGTTTTTTTTTTTTTTTTTTTTTTTTTTTTTTTTTTTCCTGATGATCGCGCTTTAATTTGTGGTGATGCACTGGAATTCGCGTATAGTTCGTTCTCTTCCTTTTGAAAAATGGATATATATTGCAAATGAGAAAGGGAGCTGAGAAATGAAGCAAGCCTTGAATTTCTTAAATTTTCTCCACCAATGGAAATGGTATTGTGCTAATTTAATTGGCTTGATATTTGCAACGCAGATTTTTGACGTTCAGAGGTTTTAGGAAAGTTGCAAATTCCTTTGTTACAAGCCAGAAACACAGCTGTCTAGAAGCGGACAAGTATGGGACATTTGTTAGAGTTGGCCTCCGTCTTCCCCAATACAGATTCTACAGGGACTATACGTTTCCTGCTAGAGGAAATACCCCATTCTCATTGTACAATACCGCCAACATTTTTTACCGGAGTAATTATTCCAGGTGTTTTGCGGTCATTCCAGCAAGAAGTGCAGTGAGACATCGTGCCCAACTTGCTTGGAAAAGGCTCTCCGATAGATTTTCTTTTAATGGTCGTGGATTTTCAGGTATAACTAATATTGCTCAAGCTTTCAGCTTGGCTGTAACCCGCTCTAATCTCATACTTCCTGGTATTTTTGCCATCACAAGTGGGAAACTAGCATGGGCGCAGAGGTCTTTTTCAGAAACGGACTACCACCCATCACCAAATACATTGTACATGCGTGCACAAGATGGACATGCTTTTATGACCTCATTAGTGTTTTCAGTTTTTGAAGGTGCAATCTTGGTTATGAGAGCACTCTATCTAGGGATCTTGTTCTCACCCAGTATAATGATGGCTGCTTTTGCTGACTGCTGTGGACCTGAGTTTAGGAGATTGTGGCTTCATGTTGTTCACCGTACATTGGAATTGGCAGGTCCAGCTTTCATCAAATGGGGTCAATGGGCAGCTACACGGCCTGATCTCTTCCCGAGAGATTTATGCACCAAGCTCTCAGAGCTTCACACCAAAGCTCCTGAACATAGCTTTGCCTACACGAAGAAAACTATCGAACGAGCGTTTGGCCGCAAGCTCCCTGAGATTTTTGATAATTTTGAAGAGAAACCAGTAGCATCTGGAAGTATTGCTCAAGTGCATCGAGCTACTTTAAGATTTAGGTACCCTGGTCAACAGGTGAAGCCCATAGTAGTTGCCGTAAAGGTTAGGCATCCTGGTGTTGGTGAATCGATTAGGAGAGATTTTGTTATAATCAATCTAGTAGCAAAAATTTCAAAGTTCATTCCTGCTTTAAAGTGGTGGAGATTGGATGAGAGTGTACAGCAGTTTGCAGTTTTTATGATGTCTCAAGTTGATCTTGCAAGGGAAGCTGCCCATTTGAGTCGCTTTATATATAATTTCCGTAGATGGAAGGATGTCTCTTTCCCCAAGCCTTTGTATCCACTTGTGCATCCTGCTGTTTTGGTGGAAACTTATGAACAAGGGGAATGTGTCTCACACTATGTTGATGATCTTGAGGGCCATGATCGGATTAAATCTGCACTTGCTCACATTGGGACACACGCACTTTTGAAGATGCTCCTGGTAACATATATATACCTTTGATGTTGCTTGCAATGCATTTATGCTTTTGGACTATTTTGATTGAATTGTTTAAAAATATGATAAGCATCTTGTTGTGTCTTAAAGTTTGTGAATTATACCAGTTGATATACCTGAATGTGGTCTGAATACATAAAAAAAGAAAAAAAGGTAGGAAAGCTACTATCTTTCTAATATCTTATCCTTCATGTGTATCGTTTTCTTTTCTATTTTGTTTAGTATATTGAAACATGAGCCCAACATTGTCTTTCATGTAAATTTACATGGTTGATTTTTTTTCTCTGTATTGTTCTATCTTCCACCATCTCCTCTCTAAAAATGGGCAAGTAACTTGAGAGAGAAGAGAGAGATTCTCCTTTATTTTTTGTGGTTTAATTATGTTCTAAGTTATCAGAATTTCTTCTTTCAGGTGGACAACTTTATTCATGCAGACATGCATCCTGGAAATATCCTTGTCCGGGTGGCTCAGAGCAAGTCTTCTCGGAAGCGACTCTTCAAATCAAAGCCTCATGTCATTTTCCTTGACGTAGGCATGACTGCTGAACTCTCTAAAAGTGATAGAGTAAATTTAGTGGAATTTTTCAAGGCTGTTGCTCTTCGTGATGGGCGTACTGCTGCTGAGTGCACGCTCAGACTATCAAAGCAACAGAAGTGCCCAGATCCGAAGGCTTTCATTGAGGTAAAATTGTTAGGCATCTTAAATTTATTACTAGGAATGATTGGAATAAGGTTGTATCATTTGATTTTTCAATTGGAACTTGGAAAATTCATTAGTAATTTTATGTTTGTTTATGAAACTCAACTCTCTTGAACCCTAATTCAACTTCAAAGGTTTTGCCTTATTAGTTTTTCCTTAACAGTTCTGGAGATCCGTTGCATTTATCTTGTTTGGGTGTTCCTTATTAAATAACTTGCAAGTTTGATATTTTCCCTTTAAATATTTATTCCTCCTTTATGCTTAAGATTATGCAAAGAACGAATTTCATATTAGAATGCTTTTCAATCCAACTTCCCCTGGTAATACTTTCTTGTCTCAGAGCGTGAATTTTGTCAAGCACAATTGAAATATGTGATATTTGTGTAGTATTCACTCCGTTTTTCGTTTATTCATCACTGTGTGTGTTATGGTTGTAGACAAATGCAGTTCCTCAATGATATTATGAACTCAGGAAGCTTTTGTTACAAGTTTCCCTCCTTTATCTACATTCTGTATTTGATTTAGTCTATTTTTGGCCAAAGTTTCTAATCTTCTTCTTTTTACAGGAAGTGGAGGAGTCATTCGCTTTCTGGGGTACTCCAGAAGGTGATCTGGTCCATCCTGCTGAGTGTATGCAGCAGTTACTGGAGAAAGTTAGGCGTCATAGAGTCAATGTTGATGGCAATGTCTGTACTGTCATGGTAACCACTTTGGTTCTTGAGGTAATTTCTTTTTCCTTTATCTACTGCAGCTGAAGCATGGAAATTCTCTTATGAAATTCTGTAATCTTTGCTATATAGGCATGTGCAATTTATAAGTACAAAGACATTAAATTAAAGCACACACTGATTGTCAAGTTGTGTTTTCTTTTTTATTTCGCACCGTTTTGTTTTTCTGCTTTTGTCTGTTGGTCATATATTCTTTACTCCTTTCTCTTTATAAATTTAATTTAATTGTCTCAGAAAAACAAATACGATAATTTTTTGTATTATAATAGGTTTATCATGTGTAGCCGAAATAGACAATGACTGATTGTATACAAATCTGAGAGGCAATTTGCTCCAATTTATATTATCATTGGTGTGGTCATCAATAACTGATCTTATACAAATCTCACTGATTATGTTTTGCAGGGATGGCAGAGGAAACTTGATCCCGGGTACAATGTCATGCAAACGTTGCAAACACTGCTTCTCAAAGCTGACTGGGCAAAGTCCCTTTCCTACACGATTGAGGGGCTAATGGCTCCATAAGAAGGTCTTGTCAGTGCTAATGCTACGATTACTAAACAATTTTGACAGTTATAAAATCCAAAATATACCAGTCCCAAGAAGTGGACGTGAACATTTAGATCTTTATTTATTTCATTTTTTTTTGTTTTTTGGGTTTTGGAAATTGCAATACGTTTTGAAGGTTCAATAATCCTTCTGTACTTAGTTTGTTTTTATCAAAAGCATTACTGTTTTTGAAGCCTCACAATTCACAAGCAAAAACAGTAGAGAGGTAAAAGACAGAAATAAAGTGATTCTATTCATTTATTTTAGATATACTTTTCTGTACAGCTTGCATTTTGTTACTTTTGATTTTGAATGGAAGGAAGATAATTATCTAGGTGTATTTTGGAAAATCTTGTCCATGTTGCAGATTAACGTGAATGATTGTTCTTGATGCCACTTGCCCAATCCTTTTTTTTTTATACCATTTATTCACATCTGTATACATATTTAGTTGATGATTATCATTTACATTTATACATAAAATCTATTTTATCCCCCCTTCTTCCTGCAATTCCATTTTTCATCTTAGAAAGCCTACTCAAGTCCTTAAATCCTAATGTTTTCTATAAATAACAAAAAAAATGATGGCCATCTTCCACGTACAACTACAGTTGCCAAACAAAACGATCACTCAAATCGATCGGCGGGCAAATCAGCTGAACGTAGCTGTAAAAATGAGAATACAAAGTAAATGCTTTCTTCTGGTAAAACTTAAAAAGAAAGAGAACCTGTCTAATTATGTAATGGCACAAGTGCAGGATTATGTTTAACAAACTAGTATACATGATTCAAAAAGTGACGGAAGCCAAATCCTCTCTTGTGCCATCTGAAAATGCCTAAGTCCTATCTATGCCCATAGACGATTGGGTAACAGGGACCGGATTTCCATAGCAATCAAGGTTATTTGCTGGTACCAATTCATCGTCCAATTCATGGTCCAATTCAAGTCCAACACCACAAACATTTTAAGAGTGAAATGAAAATAATTGGCAACACCAAGCAGGGCTTTGAGAAACTTATTCTCTCCACTGGGAAGGGGGCGTCGCCGAGCAGAAGAAGAGAATAGTAACACTGGGGGAACGCTGCGCTCATTTGTTGAGGCTGCAACAAAGGAACAAAGAATAAACAATTCTCTGTACAATATAATAAAAATGAATCATCTGTAGAATCTCCATTAGCTGAAGTGGTTTCCAGATGTTCCTAGAAACTATATAGCCGTGATCATCTAACCATTACCTGTAATGGAACATGGCAGGTGCTTAGACAACCCTGCAGTAATCGGCATAGCAGTGAACAAAACTGATGCTTATATTTCCAACAGCCACTATATACGATACTTTCACATGCTTTGCTAAAGCACCATTAATTGTTTAAGCACAGAGACCTTGTGACATTATACGCATCACTGGGTGAAAGGTTTACACACACGCACACAGACACAAAAATTGCCATCCCGTATACTATTCGATGCCACAAATATGATTTATTAAAAAAATACGAGTTCTATATACCTTCTTTATTGGAGGTATGGATACAGTCCAACAATTTTGGGCACCTAAAGCCTGAGCAATGCAGCATTTACAAACATGCAGTGGATACTCGGCAATCATTTGAATTCCCAACTGTCATGCAACATCTTGATATGTTCAAGAACCTCCATTTCTTTTCTCTTTTTCTGAAAAGATGTTCAGGTGCCATATGTGGAAGCACAAAAGAGATACATGTCTTTCCCAGCAGTGGCACTTACATTGCACATGTAAGCTCACGTATTTCTTTGATTGCTGAACTAATACTATAAAGGGCCATTCTCTTCACCTGTTTTTCATGACAAAGGTAGGCACTTTCAATCACTGATCAACTTTGTAATCATATGATGGAGAAAATAAGACATTGTTACTAGGATCATTGAAAGTTCACCTCTAGCTTGTCAACTTTTGCTTTATGATCTTCTGGAAGCAGACGGACTTCATCAGTCAACTGGATGCACTCATCAACATTTTCAGGTGAGACAAAGTCCAGCACCACATGTACACAAGACTGCATGCCAAAATAAACAGAATGTACAAGATTATGATAACGTATCATGAATGTCATTTAGTCTTCTAACAAATTTAATAAGATGGGAGAAACACATGAAATCCAAAAGAGTTTTACTAATTTGCCAAAATGATGTGTGATTAATGGGGGACACTAGAAATTTATATGCATAACAAGTGTAAATCTGCTACACATTCTTGGTAACCACTCCAAAAAGTCAAAAGAAGTAAAAGTAGGAAAGATTCAAATGGTTTTCTAAATACTAGATCATGAAAGTGTTACACATGCTACCTTAGGACTCCTAATCTGGTATGGGCATCCAGCAGGGATGATGACAGCTTCTCCAATATGTTGCTCGAAAGTCCAAGGTTCAATTTCTGGTAATAGTGAGTGGTTAACTTCAGTTATTCATAAATCAACCAGTGATGGAAATGCTACGGATTATACTTACTAAATTCCTCCTTAAGCCTTAGTTTGTGACTTGAGTCTAGAAAGAAACTCTGATCGAGAATTGGATGATCAACCTGCAGTAAGTGTGGAAGTTAAAAAGTAAGATAGAGTTTAACCTGATCTGCCCAAAAGCAGTAACTTTAGGTTTTGGACTTACACGCTTATGAATGTCAAATTTACGAGTAAATTCATTAGAGTGCCTTCTGAGATATTGTATAAGTTTTGGAACATCTTGTCTGCGGAAAACATCCCATTGGGCACCACAAGACTCGGCCAAGGTTTTCCTTTTATAGCCATTGCAGCTTTCAAGCAGAACCTGAGACATTTTATCTTTGGACGTTTCAGCATCATCATCGATTGTCTCAGAGCTACTTAGTGTAGCTTCAGAATCAGTCTCAGAATCAGACTCCCCATCGTGGGGCATATTACTTTCTTTGAGATTCCTAGTGCATGCCGCATGTGTGGAAAAGCAAGATTCTCTAGCAACTCTTTTGCGTAAATGCATCTCTTCTCCAATCACATTATGCGACCCTGCTTCTTCCATGGGTTCACTGTGCAATACTGATTCTCCTTTGACTTTTTTTGCAATAGTTTGTTCAGAAGTAGCTCTAGAAGATTCCCTCTGATATTGAGCCTTGTGCTTTTTCAGTAACTTTCTTATTTTAGAAACTTGTTCTTCAGAGATAGGGACATCTGATGTATGTGCCAAAATGTTAACCTGGGGTCACAAGCATAAACAGAATAAATGGAATATAAAACTTAGATAGATTAAAAATAAATGCTACCTATGCAAAAATAATCTTTAACGTAAAATCAGATAACCCAAATTCAAATGTTAGAGATGCAATGCAAGAGGTGAAGCTTTATCAAAGGCTTACGGTTTTCTCTATATAATTCAACCCAAATTTTACTAAGTTAGTTTAAAAATTACAATTAAGAAGAAATTACCAAAAGTTAGATTAATGCTTGGTGACGTTGGTTTGATGAGGTGACACTTCTACAGGTACCATTCTATAAATTCAAATAATATGCATGGAAAGCAGTTACAGTTACTTGAACAATTAATATGATATTGTGCCTAATTGTGTCATTACAGCATAAATGGAAGGAGACAGCATTCCCAACATAAAATAATAAGACAAAAAAAACCTAGACAGCAATGTAGAAGGGATAATTTCAAGGCATACCACATCATATGAGTCATAAGATAGCTTTATCACTGCATTAGCCTGTACAAGTTGCTCAGTGCAGCCATATGAAATATAAACACAGGGACCTAGATCAGGTTTTGGGATTTCCTGTGGCATCCTTGCCGCAAGATTTAGAAGACCCGACATGGGATTCATGTATTCTTGAAGTGGTAGAGCTCGTATTATTTCAGCATAATGAGCTGGGAACTGTTCCTGAAATAACTGCGAAGAAAGCCAACCCCTCAACTTCAGTGTCTCATTCCACATATTCCTTTGTCCCTGCCCCTTCAATGAACCCATAAAAGACTGCCTGATTCCAATTTCCACCTGCCATATGATATTTCTTCTTTTAGAAAGAAAAAAAAAACAGTGGGTGATAGGACAACTAAGCGTACTTGAAGAGTTTAGAGATAAAGATGCACAAAGCAAACAATCAGTTTTCCTTTTGAGAGCTAAAATTGAGAATGGGATTGGTTGTAGACAATTGTGAATTAAAAGAGAACAATTCTATAACCTTTAATCTTCAAGTAGTGGAAATCACTGACCTCACACCAATCCAAGCAGTGGATAGCTTCGTGTGAATTCTGGTTGTTTTCATAGCTAGCAATGCTCCTCTCAAGATAAGTGCAGAACATTAACACTGGATCCCAACTCAAATCTGACGTAGTTTGAAGCACATCTCGAACTATAACAGGATGACCTTTACTCCAGTGCTTCTGAAAGTGCTCAACATTATCACCATGTATCTCCAAAAGCGTGGGGCAGTACAGATAGTTATCATTTGAGTTCTCTCTCACAGCCGCTTCTTGCAACTGTTTAATTCCATCAACTTTCTGGTCCATGCCCAAACATAGTGTGCAGCACAAAGACATGTCAGAAGTTTCTGGAAATTCGTAGCTGCAAACTATTTCTTCTGCACTTACTTCTAGCTCATTGATCCAACTTAATGGGAAAACACATCTCAAATGAAGGAGGCTGTCACCACAACCTCCGAACTCCTTAGGTGGGCAAGATATACCCTTAACAGCATTACAAGTTTTCAAGCTGAGTACTGATGCAGAAGAAGAAAGGTACACACTGCGGACATTTTGCTTACGGTTGGCTATTGGCTTCTTTAAAAGTTGCCCCTTACCAGAGGCACAATTTTTCTTTTTGTTAGAGTGCTTTGAGAGAGATGTGTTAATACCTCCAAGGAGGCTCCCGTTAAAAATATCTCGACAACAACTTAAACAAAGGTTATAGGAACAATTTGGGCAGCTTCTATGGAGATCCACAATTGAAGCTTTGCATTTATTGCTGTTCCAAAAGTCAATGGTGCCCCAGAGAATCAATGCAAGAATATTACAAAAATTTCATTTAAACCATTAAAACATTACAGAAGTATAGAACATACCAGCACTGTTGTTCATTGCAGCTATATTCAGCCTTCTTGATATGAACTTCAGATAGTTTTTCCCCTGTTATTATGAAGATGAAAGGAAAAACAAAGAAAAAAAAAGGTTTTTAGTTATCGACCATAAAATTGGTGCAAAGAGCAACCTTCTGAGAAGAATGGCACACTACCTCTCATTTTTGCCTCTGCTTCTAGCTCCACTTTCTGATCTTGGTTTATTTGTTTTAGCACGGGAAGAAGCATACAGATCAGGTAATGGAAATGTAATATTACTTCAACTTTATTCTTAACCCCCAAATAATCCTGAAATAAGGAGTATGAACGATTTAAAGTATCAGCATACAATATCACAAAAGCATGATCTAGTTCACAAATCAGCTAACTTTAATGTCAGACCTTACTTTCAGCGTCTTTTGATTGATTTTCAGAGCATTCCTTACAGGTGCAAGTTCCTTGACAAACTGGACACGCCATCTTGACTTCATCTTGTGTATCAAAATACCTAAATTGTTTTAAGCAACAAGAGTCATCAAATCTCATCCCATATAACAAGGAGAAGAATTAAAGCATACAGTTAAGGAGCATAAGGATATTATCTTCACTCAGTTTTGTTTCGAGAAATGCATTGTCAGCTTTGGCTAGAAGGAGATAATTGGATTCTCACTTTGTCTCTATCATTTTTTTTTCTTTTGTCTTTTCATCTTGTAGGATGCAGAACATTCTACAAAACCATGGCTTCTGGTAGATTACTACAGGTGCAGACGAGGGTGAATTTGCTAATGTGCCAGCAAAATCCAAGCTGTTCATAAAGTTCTCTTAAAATTTATCACTTTCTGATCAAAAGAAAGATAGACAAATTTCAGTATTTCACACCAGTATTTACTTGCTTTGAATTGATTGATTTCTTACTTTTGGTTCATGAGCTGATATTCTGATGATTAACTGATGAAGATTCGATTCTTAAGCACCAGATTCTGCAAGTTATTTATTTATTTTTTAATGAGAGGAGTACAGAATACCATACAAATGACCCCTTTCAAAAATGAAGTTCATACATTGACGCTACTAGAGTTCAAACTACGGTCTAAGCACCATTCTATAAGAATTGTTAACTTCACATTTAACTTCTATAAAAATATGAATGGAAGCAGCAATTTAGCAACTTCTTCCATAGAGCGAAGCTCTTAAGTTTCAAACATAAATTTGACAACCATAACCAAAAGAACACAAAACAAACCTTTCTTTGATGCAACCCAAGCAAAAGAAATGCTTTTGGCAACTCGAACACTTAGTTAGACAGGAAGAAACACCACTCCCACTTCTTTGACACCAATGGCACCTTTTCCTCTTACCCCTTCTCAATTTCCCCACATTATATGGCAAAACCTAAACAAAAGAAAAAACCACTGAGAAAAAAAAATTCAAAATCCCACAAAAACCATATTATCATAAAGGTTGAAGTCAGAGCTCGCCTGCAATGTGCCAGCAGGCATTGGCTCGATGTTCTTGGACCGAAAGCACCTCCGCCGCATAGCAGCAGGCCCCATATCAACCCCAACCTTACCATCAGAAGACGAATTGGAACCTGCATTGCCGGAACGAAGCAGTGGCGACTGTGACGAAGACGAAGAAATTGCCATTAGGCCATTAGGCAAGTCTCTGGTGAGATCATCATGATCATCATCGTCATCATCCTCACTCTCTTCCTCCACAACCTTCTTCTTCTTCGTCTGGTTCCTCTTATCGACCTCCCTCTTCAGCACCATTCGTATAAGCTCCAAATTCAACTCGCTCTTCTTCAACTTCATCTTCTTCTTCCTCTTCTTACTTTTCTTCAACGTCTCCTCGGATCGCTTCCTCTTCAACAACTTCACCAAATTGTCGACTTTCCGTGCCCTAATTTTGACGCCGTTGTGGTTTTGATCTCTGCTCGGTGCGTTTTTAGGCTTTCTCTGGAGTTTGAGTGACTCCGGGACTTTCTCTCTGAACTGACGGTGCCGTCCTTGGAGATAGTGAATCTCGCAGAGCTTCATGTCGTCCATGACTCTCCGTTTGCACCGCCATTGCCGGCCGTCTGTCCGGCCACAGCGCAGATGGTCCGGCAACGCTCCCTCTTCATCCATTCAAGAAAATTGATTTTTGACTTTCCAGGAAAATTTGTGGTTTTCTCGGGAAAGCGCTCGCGAGTGGAAGATAGGAAAGGGCTAAACTTTTTAATTGCGAGGGGAGAGGATTGCAGAGAGAGAGATTTTTAGGGGGTTTCAGAATTGTATTTATTGGGAGAAACAGTTGGAGAGCTTAATGTAAAAAATGGAGCAAGGAAAAGGGCATATTCCGTAATTAGAGGGAAAGAGAGAGTCCAATTTGGTCTCGAAATCTTCAATTTGGGTCAGATCCTACGATTCAAGAGATTCAAGATAATTGCCACCCAATCACAATTCTGGGCAGAGTCACTGAACCAAAGCAATTTCATATTGAAAGAGACTTTCTTTCTTTTGGTAGTTTGATGTTCATTCGACAGTTGAAGCCCTCTGAAAGCAAGCTAATATATAGAGTGACAGTAACTATAAATGGATGGATCATGGATCTTGGTGCAATTTTCTCTGTTTTTTTGGGGCTATTTTTTTATGCTGTATTGATTCATGGGTGGGTTGGTTTTTATGTATTTTGTTTTTACAAGTTGGCCTTTTTGGAATTTGATATTGATATGGGAATTGAAAGCTTTCAGTTCAGGATAATGCTTTTAGTGTGTGTGTGTGTTTTTTTTATACGTCAGTCAGAGATAATATTTCCCCTCCTTTCTGTTTCTTTTGGATTAAACCAGAAAAAAAAATAAAAAATAAAAAACAAGTGTCCAATGCAATTGAGACTCTACTTAATGAAATTGTTCTCTGGCTTTTCCTTATCTGAAGAATGTCAGTTTGCCATGGAAACAAAGGAAATTAGGATATTATATGGAAACAAAGGAAATTGTTGTGTTATGTATATTCTTGTTACACAAGAAATTATGCTCTTCTATTTTGTGCAATTCGTATGCAATTGGTTCAGCATAGCCGATCGAGCAGTTCAATATGGTCCAGCCACTTTTGGGCTTTTCCCATCTCACAGACGGCAATAGTTTCTTTCTGACTAAAACCCAACTGGGCTTTGTGGTAGTAGCTAAGACTTTTGGCACCTCCCTCCAAATACTTGCAAAGAATACATCCTTTATCTAGTTGTATTGATAACTTGAACCAGATTTGCAGAGATGAGGAAGATTATTATGAATTATATATAGATGAAAAACACAATGAAAAGATTCAGAATTCTGATCATTTCTCAAACAATTATGAAATTAGAGAGAGAGAGAGGTTTCTTGAAAAATTCTCAAATTTGATGGGGCTTTTATTTAAAAGAATTAGATTAAGAAGTAGTGGTTGTTGTAGATAATAGTTCTCTTCTTTTTCGCAATGGCTCGTCTGCAAGCACAAGTACTAGCTGGCTTTTCTTTTCGTTTTTGCAACATTCTCTTGATGGCTCGTCTGGTTCTAGTAGTACTCGTTGCACGGTGCAGGTGGGAATTCGAGGAGGAGGAGGCCGATTTGTGTCGAGTAAGTATTGGTGTTGGCCTCCGTTAACCTTTCTTCACGAATGTTGCACATGACAATGTGTTGAGCAATCTCTAGATACAAGATGTCCTCATTATTTGGGTCGAAAGCAAGCACCTCCATCGTCTTTGACGTGTCCATGACTTGATCAACGGATTGTCCCGATACATATCGCGCAGGCAGGATAACTCTACCTGCCAAACACCATTTGCCATTGTTGCCTGCAACTACGTCCATGTCCACGTCCCTGTACACGTCCATGTCATCTGGTGATCATCTTTCAACTCCCAAACCTTCACTTTCTTCTTCTACTTGTTCTTCTTTTCTGTCACATTGCTGGTTCTTATCATTGTTATAGTAGTAGGGTTCGCAGATGAATCCCACTCTTACTTCCTCGTGGCATCGGGGAGCAGGAGGAAGAGCATCCCATTGCCGGGTGTAGGGGTTGCAAATGTAGTAATCACGCTGAAAACTCATGGTTGGGCGGCATAAAACTAAGTCGTTATACGCTCCTACTACAATTGGTTGATACTCTGGTGTGCTGTTGCTGACAGACCCTTGAAAACAAGGGAGGAAACTCAAAGACAACTTGCGGTCCGGAGGCTCAGAGGAAAAGAATTTCCCTGGTTGCCTCGGATTCGTAAAGATGAGAGTGCCCGAAATGGGCTTTTGGTTCTCCCTTTGTACGCATAGAAAACGGCGAACGAAATACGTATTAGAAGAAAGTAGACTGAACCAACGTTTGGACACGCACCTGCATACAGCTCAGATTCACGGGGAAGTCGACAAATGATTTCTATCAGTACAAGGTCAGGGTGATGATCAAGATTCAACATGGACAGAGTCAGTATTGTTATGCTTTCTGGGCCAGAAATGGACTGTAACAATTGAAGTGCTTTATGGGCCTGCCAAAGCTTAGCCCCAAAAAGAAAATAATTTCCACATTAGATTTCTGAGCCCAGCCAACCCCACACCACAATATACAACATCATTTCAGCCCAACTCGCAGCGAAAAAGGAATATTGTTTTGGGAACTTGCTTAAAGTCAATGAAGAAGATCAAGAAGAAGCTGATACAATAAAAGGTAGTCGCGGCTCATTATGAGTTATGACAGAATATTATTAAGCTAAATAATTATTACAAATAAAAAGAATTACATCAATAATTGTTTTCATGGTAACGTTTATATTATATTGCTAAATAATTATTTTTCCTTATTAAGCCTTATTGTTTTAATTTTTTCACTTGACACTTTTTAATTTTCAATTCAAACATGATTTTTTTATAATAAAAAAAACTCAAACACATTCGTATAAATGAGTGAGCATTATTCAACATTAGCATTTTTACCACACTTTTTAATTCTGAATATAAACTTACTAACACAAATTTTTGCCACAACGACATTGTCACCGTGACCGTGACATCGAACAATGACATCCCATCGACCAGAGATTATTGTACACATAGTAAACAAATAAAGACAATTTTATTTCACCCAATTTGAATTTTTATTTGGGCTATTTGTAATTAAGGATGGTTAACTCCCTGGTTGATCACTACCTGGATTTTATTTAAGGTACGTAATTCTATTTTTGTCAATGGTGTTGGTTGGTTCTCATTCTCTCCTCAAAAGTCAAAAGCAAAGGAAGACAATAAAATGCATTTCCGGAATTGAGGAGAAAATTGGGTTGGAAAAAAGAAAAAAGAAAAATCCAAACTTGAAAGAGCTGCAGGCTGCTGATCCTGGCCCTTTGAAATGTGCTGCGCAACAAGAAAAAGGCCTAAAAGAAAGAAGAAGACCAGAGAAGCCAGCCAGTACTTGCCCAAAATTGGATAGAAACATAATTGGGTGCAGCGCTGATGAAATTTCGAAACTAGTTCAATTCATTTCGAAACTAGTTCAATTCATCAACGCTGCACTCAATGATGTTTCTTCAATCTGGAACCTCCACTGCTCTCATCATCTGCATCTGCATGATTGATTTTGAGCCACCCTTAAGTACTATATATATATATATATTGGCTGTGGCAACAGATGACATTAAAGAATGCAGTACACCAAGACCAAGCTTTTGTTGTATTGAATCTTGACCTTGTACTACCATTTCACTTTCTAACCTCAACTCTGTTACTTGCTGCTCTATTCTACCTGTACTGTTTAAGGTACTGAAAACTTGTTGTACTACACATCTCCACCACCCATATTAAACTAACCCCAAACCTCTTCTCTCTCTTTCTCTCTGTGATTTTCTTTCACTATCATGATTAGATTTAGTCTTGTCATGTTTCATTAAGTAGTTTGAGATATTTAAGTAAAAACCACTAATGAGGACTAGGTCCAATCTTGAAACTCTGATATATAATTCTCACATCCTACCTGCCAGTTATAGGTGAAACTGATGCTTTGAAATTACAAGCCAACAACCTAATTTCAAACCAGATTCTTACGAGAAGTGGTTATGGACTTTACCATCAGACCCTTTGTTAACTAATGTAGTACAGTGCATGAATTTAACATAAAATGGACTGCATTAAGATTTCATTTACAACAATTGCCTAAATTACAAACTTATGTTCATCAAAGAATTACAATGATCAAGAGCAACAACTAAAATCTTATATTTTACGAAAAACAATCTTACCCTCAGCATCTTCATGCATGATGGATAAAACTTGATTAGGCGGAATGTGTTGCCAAACTTGAGGCTTTCCACACAAATGTCCCATTTGAGCAAACTTATCAGCCGCTCTGTTGCCTTCTCTGTAAATATGAGTCAAGATGCAGTTGTTGATCTCTGGTATGATCAAGTTTATGTGACTAATATACCTTTGCGCTTCTGCACATCGAATCTGTCTCCTTTGTGCGATGATTTGAAGCAACGTCTTTGCATCCCCTTCGAGCCACACATCGCTCCAACCATTTTCCAGTACCAACTCAAGGCCTCTTCTGAGTGCAGCCAGTTCTGCAATAATGCTATTGGCTCTTCCTATAGGTTCAGCATAGCCAAGTAAGAAGTCAGCCTTATGATTTCTAAATAGCCCTCCAATGCTGGCTTTTCCTGCTTTGCCTTTAGAAGATCCATCAAAGTTCAGTTTTGTCCAGCCAATTTTGGGTTTTTCCCATGTCACTGGAATTGGGGCCTTGGGCAAACTCCGGAACAGACAAACCGGGTTTTGTATTAATTTCTCAAACCTCAAAATCTTAGTGATGGCTAACATTTTCCGGCAGTTACTTCTCTTAAAAACTATATATTCTAATTAACATCTGCATGAATGCAGCACACTGGAAAAAAATGCTGAGAGTAAAATTGAGAGGAAGAAATGAATTATTTCGTAGAGAAAAAGATTACAAGATTGAAGAAGTAAAATTCAATGTAGTATCAACGTTACATATGTACAATCTGAAATTGCTTGAAAGTAGGGGGATAAGGTTTGCAGAACAAAAGGAAGGCAAAGGTTTGCATGTGGAAAAGTTTATTAATGGCTAAGTTATGAATTTAAAACCTCAAACCAGGACCATTAATCCTTTGGAACCTAAGAAACTATTGCTTCACGTAACCATGCATTGATAAAGTTGGAGTGGAGAGAAGGCAAGGTACAATTCATATTTTACAACAACAAGGCAGCACTAAAGTAATGCAATATATATACTTAGATGATGAAAATTGCCAGAGAGATTTCTTCAAGAACTCTCAAACATATAATTCTGATTCTGCAGACATTTTTTTCTTCTTCTTTTGTTCTGATATTTGGACTTGAATTTTTGACAAATTGCATGCTTTGCTATTACATGTAGAAGGAATGCGTGATGACTTGAGGAGAGAGTGAACTCCAACATTGACCATTAAATGGTAACTGTAAAAACCTGCTGATTTTATCCAAATGGGATTTTTTATATATAAAAAATTGTAAATTAACAGCAATTTTCTATAAAATTGGTGGGAAATCCGAAAGGTAAGGATGCCTAAATTTGATTAGTTTTTTCAGGAATGCACTTGAGGAGGAGATATAGAGAAAGCATGCAATAGGGTTTTTGACATTGGTCATCTGTGATTGGGATGATCTAATCAGTTGCCTTAGATTTCCATCCCCACAAAATTAGTTAGGCCAATCTGAGGAGGAACAAAAAAAATCTCCTCAAGTGTGATTGAGTTTCTAACATTAGGCAAATCTCTGTTATTGAATTAGAATTGGTTTTCCTTGCATCCTCCATTATAAAATCAAGTATCCTATATATACACGTACTAACATAACATAAATCTAATCAAGATGAGAACACACACTTACATACAAGTGGCAATCAAGTATTAAACTAGCCTAACTAGTAGTAATCCAAATGGGACGTATATAATATTAACTGTTACATAATGAAATATAAAGATGGACATCAAATTCAGACCAAATTAGGGAAGGTGCAACTTTTTTTCTCTTGCCTCATCAGCTAGCTTCGAATCCTTTCGAATTAGTTGCTAGCTGCCTTGCATGCATGGAGTGCGCTAGCTTTGTTTTTCTGTGGAGGAATGAGGAAGTACAAGCAATGGCTAGCTTTTCTTTTCTATTATGCAACATTCTCTTGATGGCTCGTCTGGCTCTAGTAGTACTAGTAGTATAAGTGGTTACATGACGCACACGTGGGAATTCGAGGAGGAGGAGGAGGCCAGTTTGTGTCGAGTAAGTATCGGTGTCGGCCACCACTGGAACACAAATGGGAAGACAGGAATAGCAGAGTGAATCTTACCATAATAATACAGCTTGTTCGAAACCTCCGTTAGCCTTGCTTCGCGAATGTTGCACATGATGATGTGTTGAGAAAACTCTAAATACAAGACATCATCATCATTTGGGTTGGAAAGCGAGCACCATAACCGTGTTAAGCCATTTGCCCTGATATTTCCTTGTTACCATCAACGGGGTTTCCGGAAGCATATCTAACAGAGTAACTCTGCCTACCAAACACCATCTGCCATTGTCATTGCATGCAGCGTCGTCCATGTCCATGTCCTTGTCCATCTGGTGGTCATCTTTCAACTCCCAAACACACACATTACCATCGGTATCACCAACATACGCAGGCAGTACTGGCACATTCGCAAACGCCCTCTACTAGAGACACCCATGAAATCAAATGCTCTTCCATACTCCGACTCCGACTCATCTTCAGGTTTATCAATGAAATGGAAACAGTATTTACCCGAGTTGGAGCTGTCGTTGGAGTAGGGATCCAAACCAGTAACAAAGCCATCACTAGAGCTCCACCAGTAGAGCATTCCATACAACTGACTCTGTCCATCTACCAGTCTCGGAGGAGAGCATTTCCATGTTGAACTCGAAGGAATTCTCTGGACACTGAGGAATTATTCGCACAACCTTGTACCTGTACTCAACATTAAGCCGGATTCTACTACATGCATCACTTCTTCTTCTACTTCTTTTCGGTGGTCTTCCTCCTCACATTGCTGCTTCTTATAATTATATAGTAGTAGTAGGGTTTGCAGATGAATCCCACTCTTACTTCCTGGTGGCATCGAGGAGCGGGAGGAAGAGCATCCCATTGCCTGATGTATGGATTGCAAATGTAGTAATCACATTGAAAACACATGGTTGCGCAGCATAAAACTAAGTCGTCATAAGCTCCGACCACAATTGGTTCATACTCTGGTGTGTTGATACGCCCTTGAAAACAAGGGAGGAATTAAAATTCATGTTGCGTGTTAACGACTCTAGAGGATTAGAGGAGGGCGTCACAAAGAATTTCCTTGGCTGCCTTGGATTAATGAAGATAAGAATGCGTGGAATGGGCTTTTGGTTATCACTTTGTACACATAGAAAACGGCAAACGAAATAGGGATTAGAAGAAACCAGACTGAACCAACGTTTGGACACGCACATACATTGAGCTACAGATGCAAAGGGAAGTCGACAAATGATTTCTATCAATACAAGGTCGGGGAGATCATCAAGATTCAACATGTTGGGGTTTAAGTGAGGTTCAGAGTGTGGTTCAAGATCATGAGACTGGGATATTCTCTTTCTTCTTTTGGTAGCACGAGGTTCAAGATCAAGACTTGGTCAACAAAAATGTAAGTTATGCAACAATGGGAACACACTGCATAAGGTTTGCTGGAGGCCTACTATATCTTCAATATGTCACACTAATCTTCTTCTATCATCTTAATTCAAGAAAGAAAACCAATAATTTACAAGGTTGCAAGAAGTAGTTCCTATTTGGTCTTCAATTCAGCCAATCATGAAATTAGCATTCAAACTAGAGCAACTTTATTTCTTGGTGATCACACTTCGGCTCCTTAAAATTTGCTCTTGCCAATGAGCCATAACCAGTCAAGGGAAACTCCTGCAAATATGCCGCACAAAAGACACAACACAAGTATATTTCCCAAGGCATTTTGCTCAGGTCCCTGCAAATCAAAGAACCCAAGACATTAATTAACTTTCATGAGAAACCAGTAAAAATAACTTTATATTTAGAACCATGTTGACCAACCTTGTAACCCTTGGGTGCCACTGTCATGACACATACAGTGAGATAACCATTTGTTAATCCTAAGACCGATGTGAGCAAGATCATCCATCCCTGGTCGCCATATTTTCCAGTGAAGTAATATGCTGGAACGAACAGGAAACGCGATAGAATTGTAATCATGAGGCCCTTTCTGGATTCGATCTTCAGGCATTTCACAAGGGGTATGTATCTTGATATCAAATCCAACACATTGTACATTGCCACCAGAACAAGCGGATACCTTTGAGTTCACCAGGCAACCAACACAAAGTTCTTATTTTGTAATTTACAAGAGGAATTGGTAATACATGAGATTGTGGGCCATACTCAGAAAACAAGCATTTAAGAGACAAAAGGATTGAAACTTACCATGTGCCTAACTGGTGTTTGCCGGTATTTTCAAATATGAAGCCGGGGAAGATTGATAATGTCAGCACATATATCAGAAACAAGTCAAGTGCATAATCTATATTCTGCATGAACAATTGCTTAGTGCTCAGTCGAGTTGGAAGTATTTTAGTATCATTTGAGACCTGTGAAAATTTTAGAAAGCTTGTTAGTAATTAGACATCTGAGCATATCCTCAAGAACATACATCATCAGATTAAAGAAAGTTTCAATACTTCTATGTCTGCTTGTGTTTGGATGCCAGCAGCAGCAAGATCAGCGGATACAGTTTTAGAGCCTTCTGAGGCTGCCTTTGAGCGGTAGTACTTTACTATAGGCAATCTAGGGAAGTAAATTGCATATAGAAGAATACACAGAAACTCAATGAGTGTGGAAATTGCTAGGAACATCACTGCAAAAGACCAATCATACAACAAATTGTCATTGATCGAAGTACTTAAAGTCAATTAGAAAGTATGACTCTAGCTTCTGAAAGCAGCTGATCAGATAAAGAACTTGAAACGTCACTTCTACGTACCACAAGTCCACATTTTCGGCTTTGACACATTTAACCACACTACAACAACAGGTATATGAATATCAACCACCAATTTGTCTATTAGTAAAGAAAATTCACATACTCGCCCCCTTACGAAGACCATTGTGATACTTCTCAAAGGCAGCTTTCGTCATCAGCCTCATGCCAGAGGTTAGAGCACCTGATGCAGCCAAGCCAGCAAAGAAGGACTGCAGAAGCAGAACATAAAAACAGCACTCACTAAGATAGAAAACTGTAAGGTTAATGTTACAGACGATAACAAAAGAGGTCACAAACATTGAAGAACTCTGAGAAGAAGACCAACCTGGATGAATTCAGGATGCATAAAAGACAGGTCTCCGACCATTCCACCTTGAACATGGGCATCTGCAACCCCAAATGCACCAACACATGCACATATACCAATATAGGGTCCAATCGCTCCACTCCCAGACGTAGCTAAATCCACCTATTACAAAGGTGAAAATGAAGTTAAGAACATGGAGTAGAAAGGGGCGCAAAAATAGAGTACGTACATAGGCGTTACTTACCACTATTAGCATCAAGGTCCCAAGGAAGAAGAGAGCATATCCAATTAAGTTCCTCTTCCTGGTGTTCAACTTTGCTTCATGGTACGCTAGTGTTACCATAGTAATAAGTGCAAATGGTTGATAAACAAGGGTAAGAACCCGCGACGGGTGGTAACTCTATAAAAGAGAAATGTTCATCAGAGTTTTAATCAGAGACTTTCATTTAATGGAACAGAGGTTCCCACTACTAAAAGTCCAAATTTTTTTGTTGCCCTGCAATTTAAAAAGGGCAATGATAATCTGACTAGAAGCCTAATTGATTTACAAATTATAACTGAATTACAATATATCCTGTTCAAACAAAGCACTCAGCCTTGAACCTGAACAAGTTCTTAGACACCCGCCAGATCCTTCAAATGATAAAGATCATTCCTTTAATCATAAACAAAACAGAAGTGTATAGTAAGTAGCCGCTTACCGCTGGAAACAAATTATAATAGTAATCTCCTATAGTCAGCAGACTGTTCCAAGCGACAAGGGAGCCCAGTCCCAGAAACCAACAAACCGCCATAGCTTTATAATGTCCCTGCTTGTTACATGAGATATTAGAAATTTCAGGGTCAGGTAAATCAATTAATGAAGAAAAGTTCAATGCTTTGAGCAGCACAAACCTCATGCTTAATTGAAGCCCTGCTTTCATTGTCCTCTGTCATGGCTAGTCCCTATATTTGAGAAACACAGAATTAAACTCTCTATATAAGTTTCATGTACACTATAAATTTGACTGCTTTATGACTATTTTTGAAAATGGTAAACGGGGAACAAATCAAAGATGCAGAAGAAGAAGATAAAAATGAAAATGGGTTTCAGAATCAGTATGCATACACTTGTTTACCTGAGTAGATTCCTAAGGCTGACTTGAATATGCAACTGGGTTTTCAATAGTATATCCCTCACTGTTTCCAGAAACTAGAAGAATATAAAAGACGATTAAGAAACTGGACGAGAGGGGTTTTGACTTGTTCAAGCAATATATAAAGGCAATGCTTGTAGAGAAGCAGGAATTAAATATACAAATTATTGCAGGCTTTTATTATTGCCCACGTGGACAGAAAAAGAGATGAGATTCTGTCGTGTTTTTGAGAAGATGGGGTAGGATGGATGGACTGTGTCTGAAGTAATCCTGAATATGAAAGCAAAAATGACAGCAGGCTGTGGAATTTAAAAGCCAAAAAAAGTAAAGGGTCTCTTCTTCCTTTTAGAGCAAGTGGAAGCTGGCTGTGACGTGATCGGTGAATGAGATTGACAATGGCTAAAAGCTGAGGAGGAAGAACCAGGAATGGGAACAGGGAAGGTGCAGCAGAAATGAATATATAAAAGAAGAATCTTCCAAGATATTGACTTGTAAAACAACTAGCTTCGCTCAGAAGACCTCGACGAACAACTTTCGTTTGCTTGGAGGGAGTTGAAAGTGCTTCAATTTGTGTTCTTTAGGAATTGCTTGCGTCACGACTTTCATTTCGTCAACAGTTGGGGATTATCAAAAATAAATAACAGAGTCACACACAAATACAAATTGTTTATCTTTCATCATTTTCAATTGGCTGGTGTGATTTGGAATTTTTTGGAATAGTTAATGAAAATTTAGACAATAATCTTAAATTTGGATTACTTCCTAAACAATCTGAAAGGTACATTAAAACGTTTGATTTGTGTTTGAAATACTTTAGCAGCTTTTAAAAAATTCCCTACTTTTTCGCAACTTTCTTGATTCCCTTTTATTCAATGGAATCTGTCCTTTTTATTGGTGATAGAATCTCCCCCTTTGTTGATTCTTCAAAAGTTTAGTCAAACAAACAATTAAACAGTCGGCTTTTTTCCAAATTTATTTAATTTGTGCCTTATACGTAACGTATTGTTGATAATCGAATCAAAAGTACTTTGAAAAAAAGTTTGAAAATAAAAAAACTTAGGCTAGCCTGCAGACGAAGCTTTGGTTGCAGAATGGGTAACCAATGTTAAAATCAACACCAGCCTACCACTTAACTCAGCCCAAGGAAATAAAGATCAGCCCATGGAAAATTGCCAACACTTGAACTAGACAATTATAGAAAAATCTGGAAAAGTAGTTCACCGACCTAGCAACTAGATATAGTTCTTGTAAGAAGTGTGAATAAAGTGAGAAAGAGTGTTTGTAAGAGTTGGTCTTTCCTTTGAGAGTTGTTTGTTGTAGTATTTTATGAGTCTAATACAAGTAAATTGTTTACTTGATTTGTCTCCAACAAATCTACAATAGAGTTGTGTACTTTAAATTTTCTCAACAACCAATTGATCCTCGGGATGTGTATTGTATACACGTCACGAATATAATTGCACAAATTAAGTGGTGGTGTTTTTATATTCACTATGTGCATCCACACGTGCAATAAATATGTTGATCATATTATTGTGGTCGATATATTGGACGGTCAAATATGGAATATCCTGCAATATGTTTTTCAGCATGAATCCTAAAAGTATTTGGGCGTAAAGTGTGGCATCGTTACATGTTACTACTAATTTGCATGTTACAATATAAATGTGCGGTATGGGTGTGATTGACATTTTCTTAATTTAAAGTATATTATTAATAAAAAACACACATTTTATAATTAACACGTGACGTGACGTTATGACGATCATATATTATAACGATGATTATACCATGCAAAATGACGTAGCTTGCAAACAACAGTAAAATAATAACAGAAATAGCAATTGCACAAATCAAATACAAGTTACGACATCAGTGTTGTAGAAGACGCATAAAAATTTGAAGGAAAAACAGAAGCAGTGTTGTAGAAGAGAAATCGATTGTACGGACTTGGATTAAGAGTTTCCCCAAAGGCCCAGTTTTAGGAAATCGAATGTACTGAGTTGGGCATTTAAGTAAGGCCTAATGCTATGGTCTATTTAGGGGTTGGGTCCAATTTCATGTTCTAAAATTAATTAGGATTTGGGAAGAAGTCGCAGCCTCTGGTTGAGAGAGAGAGAGGGTAACCCAACCCAACTCAACCCAAAAACCAAGCCTTTGCTAGTGTGGACCAAGATTGGAAAAAAGGAAGTTCCTAGGAAAATAAAAGATTTGATTGGCAAGTGGGTCATCAATTTCTTGTTCCATTCCCTTTGTTTTGTGTACAGGCTAAAGCATGATGCGTATTATGGGGTCCGAGAAAGAGAAGGTTATGCAATGCAGCACTCAAAAATTGAAAACCTCTCCTTATTCAATAAAAAAAAGGGAGTTTCACTAAAACACCAAAAATAGAGGTTAAAATTATAAAAAAACCCAAGCACTATTTAAACATATAAACACACCCAAAACCCATCATTACACACACTCAAAACCCATTTATAAACACACCCAAAAAGTTGACTTTGGGGTTGATTTTGGTGTGTTTCTATGTTTAAATAGTGCTTGAGTTTTTTTATAAATACATATCTAGAATTGGGTTTATTTATAAATTTGTATAAAAAAAACATTCGAAAATATGTCTCTGTCTCTAAAAGGATGTTATCCACCGCCCAAAGTTTTCTCCAGTATTTTTTTTTCTTCTCCTTTTTTGGGTAAGCAACAACCAGCACCGCCCAAGTTGGATATTACCATAAACGTCCCTTTAATCATTTCCAACTAGCTAATAGTCTCTGACCATGAAAAGATTATTTATAAAAAAAAAGATTTGTCTGTATTAAACTTTTCACACGTGGAAATCAATAATTTTTTTTGTTTTTGGGTCAGAAAATCAATAGTTTACCATAGAGCAAAAAGCACAAAGAAGGTAGGACCCATTGATCGCGGTTTGGCGGACAAATGCGGCATATCAAACTGTCGTATGATTGGACAGTGAGGGCATCACGGAAGCAAGCGAGTGAGGGTAGAAGTATCCTGGGACCCAGGACAAAATGGTGACAAACAGCCACGTTGCACCTCACAATCAGACAGGACCAACTGGGCTCACAAAACCAGTATTTTAAAGCATAATACCCACCACCACCGGGGCCCACACCTTCCTTCGCCCTGCGACTTAAGCAATAAACCATCTGTATTTGAGCAGCTCACCCAACTCCGCACTCTGATCTCTCCTCTCTCCTCTCTCCTCTTCAGCAAGTCTCTCAATCTCCTTTCTTTAGAAGCAAATGGTTTTCTCTGGGCTGGGGTTCAATTATTATAGAGGAGATTAGGGACGGACGGATCATCATTTCAATTTTCAAGCCCCACAATTACCAAGTGTGAGTATTCTCTTTCTATTTATATCTCTTTCATTTTCCTAATTTTATGCCTCGTTTATTTTTGTCTTTTCAAAATGCACAAAATATGTTGTTTGTTTGTTATAACTTTAGAGCATAATTCATCTTCTAAATATCCATTTGAATATCGAATCATCGATCACCGATTCGATCGAAAATTATGCAAAATATTAACCTATGCAGGTAGCAAGTTTGATCTTAGAAATATACTTATGATTATGGTATTGATTTTTCCGTTAAAAGACTTGGAATTGATTGATAATTTGAAGATTCCATGCTTTTTTATCTTAGAAACTTTTATAATGGCAGTATAAAAGTTAAACAAAAAGCACACTTTACTCTGCTTCTGACCGAGTCTCGGGGACAGACAGCGGTATATCAATTTTCAACGACAACTGGGCAATAATTATAATACTCATTACATATAAGCTAAGATTAATATATAGCTTTACGGAACTCAATTAGCTAAATTAGGTAAAATAAATCAATAAAATTGACACACAAAAAAAGTAAGCGGGGGCCCAGTAAAGAAGGTCAAAAACCCAAACTGAAAACCAGGGTCGGGTCAGGTCAGGGAAGCGTCTGTGACGGCCATCCATCACAGTCACCCAAATCGCTAATTCCAACACGCAGACATTCCTTACGGTCTGCAACTTCAAGTCGATTTTGGATTCTCGGCGTAGAATTCGATACGCCAAAGCTGACCCTTAAAACTTCATAACTTTTGTTGCAGGGCAGGGCAGGGCAGGGCAGGGCAGAGTTAATATTGCTCAACGGAGAATGACGTCACTTCACCCCTCCGAGCTGGACTCGGCCGCCACCGACTCCGTCTCGTCCACCCCACGCTCCGACCACCCGTCTCACGATCTGAATACACGTGTACGGTTCATGTGCAGCTTCGGCGGCAAGATTCTCCCACGGCCACACGATAATCAGCTTCGTTACGTCGGCGGCGATACTCGAATAGTTGCCGTACACCGTGCCGCCAGTTTCTCTTCCCTCCTCACCAAGCTCTCTAAACTCTCAGGCAAACTCCTCAAAACACGCCGTCAAATCGCAATTCAGTGGTTTTGCACTCTTCCTTATTGTACTTTTTTGTTGTTGTTATTTTTTATTATTTGCAGGACTGAGTAACGTGACGGTGAAGTACCAGCTGCCGAATGAGGACCTTGACGCTTTGATTTCCGTCACGACGGACGAGGACGTGGACAACATGATAGAAGAGTACGACCGTATAGTACAGAATCAAAATCCCAAGTCTGCTCGGCTCCGCCTCTTTCTCTTCCCTAAAGGCGAGGACTCAACAGTTAACTCGAGATCCTCCAGCATCAGCTCACTGCTCGACGGCTCGGCTAAACGCGAGCTCTGGTTCCTCGACGCGCTCAACAGCGGCGCGTCTAATTCCTCGGTGCTCGAGCGCGGCCGCTCCGAAGCTTCCTCGATTGTCTCCGAAGTGCCCGACTACCTGTTCGGGTTAGACAACTCCGACGAGACTCACTCGCGCGGTGAGTTCAAACCGAAACCCCGAACCGTATTGCAAGACAACGTGTCGGCTTCGGATCCGGGTTCTCCTGCCCCGGTTATTTCCTCACCGTTTTGCTCGACGTCGTCTGTGCCTTCAATTCCATCGATGCCGAGTCTCCCACCCGTGAAGACCCGACCCGACTTCAATCAAGTTGTCGAGACGAAAGATAATCATTCAGAGGGTTTTACAGAGACGGTCGATCTGCCGGTACCACAAGCGACGGGGTTCTCAGCCAATCCCGGTGTGCATTACATTCCGGATCCTAATTACCCGGGTCATGTTGTTCGGTCAGTACCCCTTTATTATTACCCGGGTCCGGTTCCACCAGCAAGCGTACAGGTCCAACCGGTTCCAGTTCGGAGTCAGTTTGTTCATCAGCAATACCCGGGTCAGATTCCGGTGGGCTATCATAACCAGATACCGGGTATGGGTCAAGTATATGGTGGAGGGTTGAGGCCAGTTGGGGGATTGGATCCATATGATGTGTCAGCTAGGGTGGTCTCTGATGGAGTGAACCAGCAGCAGCAGCAGGGGTACTATGGAGTGAGGAATCCGAATGCTGCTGTGGTTTCGGCATACAGTCCAGGTATGGTGGTGCCATCTGGGGAAGAATGGCAAGGACCTGGACCCGAAATAAATATGGGTCGGGGCCCCAATGCATCTTGACAATGCAAATGCAATGCATGAAGGGAAAGAAGACTTATTACTGTGATTGATTAAAGTGTGGTTATTTTATTGTTGATGATGATTGCTGAGTGAGTGATGATACAATTGTAATTAGCTTTTTCAACTTGGTATTGTGAAGTGCTTTTTTTTTTAAAGGGAAAAATGGTATAGAAAAGTGAAAACTTTTGCTTACAAATAATGCTTTTATTTAGTTCCTTTGTAAAAAAGTAAAACTATTAGTAAGTGGCTTTGTTAGATTTTTATATTATCGCAAAGGCCTTTTCTTAATTTATGATGTTTTATATCAATTCAAGATTGATATGGAAGGGCATATGCCAAATTAGATTCATATGAATTGATGGAAGCATATCGGCTGGGCATGCAAAGTCATGGGCTGAATTTTGGAGTTCACAAGTTTAAAAATGTTCCAATTGTTCTCAAGGATATGTCTGAGCCAGGATTTGCCCAGCCCATCATGATTGTAAATAAGTGAGAATTCTATAGTGAACAAACATAACTATATTGTGGGCACAATTTCTGTTCAATTATTAGGGGTGGCCATAATTTTGGGTCAATCTGATTGAACCATTCAACTCGATCATAATAGATTGGATCGGTCTAAAAAGGAGCTAGTCCTGGGTTCAAAAAATTATAAACCGCTATGTATGAGTTAAAACAAAAACTTGAAAATAAGTTTAATTTGGGAGACTTTGGAAAAACCCAAAGGAGAGAAAAATTTTGTAAAAGAAGCCAAAATGGACAAATTTGCCCTTATTTATTTTTGGATTTCCTAAGAAATCATTTACACTTGCATGTCTTTGATTTGAAAGTTGAAAGGTTTTTCTGTCTTTTTGGAAAAAGCTTTGGCTTTTTCCAAAAGTGAAAATTTTTTTATGGCTAAAACCTAAATTTACTTTTAAGAAATCATAAACCACTATATATTGGGTTGGGACTAAAACCGACCCAACCCAACTTATGCCCACCCCCTAGTAAATAATTTATCCTAATTAATTGGATGATTAAGGGAAAATTCTTCCTCACCGCTAAGAGATAAATAGATTAATGCTAAATGCGTTTCCAATCACACTAACTAATTATATTATGATAGTTGGTAGTATGTCTTTTTTTTTTTAAATACGAAAAAGTTCAATTACAAACAGAACCCATAAGAACATGCATGCCCGAAAAGATCAAAATAAAACCGAAATGACATAGTGGGTAGTATGTCAAATAAAATCCTCTAAGTCATAACAATTTGATTTGAAGTACACATATTTTAGTCAGGAACCCCTAGTCACAAATACATTGCATCTTGGCAAATTTAATTTAATTTATTTTTGGGGTCAAGTATCTTGGCAAGGTTTGCTAACGGGCTCAATCATTCATATGCCACAACTATCGTTTGGGCTTTGAGTTGAATTCATAAGCCCACAAAAAGTTTCTAGTTTGAATCCAAACCAACATGCCATAAGGCCCGTTTGGTTCACGGAATAGATTTGAGGGGAAATCACTTCCCATGTCATTTCCCAAGGAATGAGAAATGAAAGATTCATTTTCCACGTTTGGTAATATTGGGAAAGTAACCAGGAGATTTCACTTTGTTTCATTTCCTATGTTTGTTTTGAGTATGAATGGAAAACAAAGTTTGTATAATGTTCCAATTATACTCATATTAAATCAAATAAAATAAGAATGCATTTAATGATACATTGTAATTCTAAATTGTTCATGAGGACAAAATAGTCATGAAAATTATGCATTGAATGTTGGCTCATTTTTCCAAACTTTTCCATGAGGAGGGAAAACAAAACCCAAGTTGAAAGGAGGGCTTCACTTTCCCCCATACTTTCTTATGTGCTAGACAACCATTTCTCATGCTTGGACTTACCAAACATGAAAAAGCAGTTGAATTCCCACTCTCAAGTCTCCTTTCCCATGAATCAAACGAGGCCTAAGAGTTTCATTCAGCCAAATCGTTTGTCTGCGTGGTGTCACATGCCACATGCATTTTCTTTTCAAGTGTGTGTTAATTATTTAATTCTTGATATCCATACATGGCATATAATATATAATTTTATAATTTTATAATATGTGGAAGAAGCCACCAGAAAGCAGAAAGCAGATCACTAATTAAAGTTGGATTTGTATTCGCCATAAAAACTTACAAAAGAAAAAAAGTGGGATATTTATTCACAAGCTTTCTCTTGCATCAACGCCAATTGCCAAACACACAAACGAAGACTTTAATTGCGTCCCCTCCATTGGCAGAGGCTCCTAAAGAAGAAGACATTCACGAAACAACAAATTTATAAAGAAGATGGTGATATAGCTATTTGGCTCCTTCGCCAGCTCTTCTCCCTCTTCCTATATTCATCCCATGTCCCTTTCATCGAATCTTTGCGTTATATAAACATTATTTAACATAAGAGAGAGAGGAAACGAACCTAAGACCTCGTGTTGCAAATTAGGAATGGCCTCATTTGACACAGAATCATAAGAGTGTGTACAATTGGGTAATTTACTTGGGTATGTGATAAGTCCGTGAGCCCGTGAGAGGGATATGGACTCTGTACGTGTTTGAAGAACCAGGTGCATGATTCACATTTAGGAAATAAACAATGTGTAAACGTTAAATCATACAACTGTTTTCTTTTGATATGTCCCCTCACTACCCTTTTGATCAAGGGACAAAGCAAAACGTTATAATTTTGGAAGTTTCCCAAAGCTCCTGTCTTGGCTATGTGATGTGGGTCTGCTGCTTTACCTGTTATCCTGTAAACGAGAGGCTCAAGTTCACAAATTGGATCAAGATATGAAGAAAGAAGAGCACTGACATGAACTCGACATAGTCTGATTATGCTTCTGCAAATTGATGAATGCATGTCTTATTCAATGGACACAAAATGGTTGAAAAAAGTTTGTATATATACGTAATATGGGACAGCTTGGAGCACCCCCCCAACTTTTCTGTGAATTTTCAAACTCTAATTAAGCACATGCAACGCCCTGCACATCTCCCTAATTGCCTCACTTAATTACCATATAATTAGTGAGAAAAATAATAAACCAGGCACGAGCCGTAACGCAAAAGTGAATTAGTCCAGTTGGTAATTTTGGACACTTGATGTGTGCATGGGGCTTAGAAAACTCGAGAAGTTTAGATTGATGCACTTAACAGGGGCTCACATTGAACACAAGGACATGAACCCTAGCTGTCACCCTGGCATGACAAGGAAAGACCAGTATCACAGTTTGGATGTATGATCTTTAAATTTAAGAGAAAAAATAAGAAAAAAAAATCATTGGAATGCAATGCATGGTTATGTATGGTTTGTAACTCTTGGTAGGTGACGTTATTTATGTCCTCCTCTGCACAACACCAAAATTTCTTCATTTTTCACTTAAATTTTTTGTTTTGGTCTTCATTGGTGGTTGTTGTTCTTCTGTTGTGGATGAAAAATAAATGAAAGGAAAAAATAGAAAATAGTTTCTCTCAAACTTTTCCCTTCAAATTAAAGGAAAAGCAATTGGGTTAGGAAATTTCTGTGAATCTGAGACTCAATTGAGTGGTGGGGTTCATTCAAATGGGAAATTTCTATGAATCTGAGATCCCTTTTGGTGGGGTTCACTTGATTTTCTGGGTTTTACAATTGCAAGATTCTGATAGGAGCTTCAAGACTAAATTATGGCAATACGATATTGGCATTTATTGCACACACGTGAATCACATGAAGAGGCATGGAAAGCTCAAATGGCCCCAGTGCCTAATCTTATTATAGCGGAAAGGAAAAATATTCAATATGATGGGGATTCAAATGTGAAAGAAGATGCTGATTTGACACATGACGATTCACCATTTTCTCCATTAAATTTTCAGCTGACGATGATTAAAACGTTCACATTTCTCCATTAATAGAAAATAGTCACGTTGATTGACTGCCAAGGTCGTCTGTTGATTGTTAAATAAAGAAATACTGTAGACAATTTAAAGTTGCATTGTCACCTGTTGATATATGATGAAAGTTTTAAGCATCAATATAATCGCATAGACGACTATCGGAAGCAAAGATCCTCTATAAGTTAAGCATATATGATAAAAGTCAGGAGGAGGAAAATGGTACGCCAGCTGATGATACTACTACTGCTGTGTATTGTGTACATAACGGTGGATTTAGTAGTCTTCTTTCTAAATGTATTGGCGTTTATCCCGGATTATGGGAAAATTGAATTCTTATTAGATAGGTTAACATATAGTCTTATTCGAAAAAAAATAACAACACATGTGAATGTTGTCATAGACATGCAAATACAATATTATTTTTTCTTATAGGGTACAAGGTTATACATATACAAATAGAAAATAGATGTTTTCATTTCAACTAGGAATATCATTTAAATAAATATTCTTTTTATCTACCACTAGGGGTAAAAAAGCATAAAAAATTTAACCTAAGTTATCCTGTTTTATTTTCCTATGAGACAGTGAAGAAAAGTGTCCAACATGCATATAAGTTAATGGAGCTGCAGACAGAAGACTGAGAGGAGTGAAGGTGAAGAATTTATCAGCACAGAATGCGAAGCTTCTCTTTTCCATCATTATTATTACTCTCTTCAAACTGCTGCTCCAATGTCCTCTCCTTGACCGCCTCTGTTTCTACTCAGACTTCACAAACAACTTCACTTGAAACACAAAACCAAGCAAAGAAAATGGATGAGTTTGGTCTTCAAGAGCCACACTCTTTAGCAAGCTTCCAAGAATACAACCCTGATACAATCCCAGATCTCTTTGCCTCAGAATCTGACCACATGCCCTCACACAATTCCTTAAGCTGCTCAAAAGACACAGATTTCTACTTTGCATTTCGCCTCAAAGCCATTTCTCTGTTTTTACAGGTAAAAAATGAAATAGAAGAAGAAGACGAAGAAAAGAACACTTGTGAGCTCTGTTTCTTCAGTTAATTTCTCTGTTCTTGCATATTGGTCTAAACTTGTCATAATTTATCAGGCACAATATTCTTGCAACCTTGACCCTTTCATACCATACCTTGCCATCAACTACCTGGATCGGTTCTTATCCAAGCGAGATATTCCGGTAATTAAAGAGCTTGATTTTCTTTAATTTAGTGAAATTCCCAGATAATGTTACATTAAATTCTATGCTTAAATCCATCATTCACATTGCAGGAAGGAAAGCCTTGGGTCTCAAGACTCCTTGAAGTCTCCTGTCTATCTCTAGCTGCAAAGATGAAGAACACACCCTTCTCCGCCACCGATTTTCAGGTAATTAAACAACCCTTCAATTTGAGCGAAACGGAACTCAGAACATCTATGAAGCAGGCAGAGGAACTAATTTTCTTTTGTTTAATGTATATGCGAAACAGAGAGGGGAAGGCTTCATCTTTGATGCGCAGACAATTCATAAAATGGAGCTTCTCATTCTTGACACTCTAGATTGGCGGATGAGATCGATAACACCCTTTTCTTTTCTGCCATTCTTTCTCTCTTTTCTGGACTTAAATGACCAAACACTTGCAAAAGCTCTCAAAAGTCGAGCTTCGGATGTCATCTTCAATGCCCATAATGGTAAAAGTACTTGTTAGTTGTTCAAGTGCTTCAATTATAAATAAATAAATAAATTTTTGTTTGAATTAGTTATACTTGGAACTCATAATTCTGTCATTTTGTTTGGACTTTGATTACAGAAATTAAGATTGTTGAGTTCAAACCATCGATAATTGCAGCATCAGCGGCCCTATCTGCATGTCAAGAGCTGCTCCCACTGCAGTTTCCATCTTTTAAAGCTTCAATATCTTCTTTCCAATATGTAAACAAAGTAAGCACAATCTTTATAGCGCATAAATTGGCCAGCAAACTTAAAACATCATATAATTTGAAGTTTTCTTTTTCTTTACTGCTCTTACATTACAGGAGAGTTTGTTCAAATGCTTGACTTTGGTGCAAGAAATGATGGTGAATGAAGGGTACGAGTCCACGCTCGATACTTTGTCATGCACAACAAGAACCGCAATGAGTGTGGTGGACCGTCAGCTCACCAAATCAGATCAAAGACAGAACACACATACTTCTTCTACTATTATAGCAGAGAAGAGAGACAGCAAGCGGCGCAGATTGAATGGTACTTTGTGCAGTGAAAATAGGTTCCGGCTCTCCCATCATTTTCAAAAGTGTTGATTTGTTTTAGTGTTTAATTGTCTATGCCTCACAATAGTTGATTGTTCTCCTCCTCACTACCAGATAAGCAATGTCCCATTTTTCTGCCCAAAAAACAAAGTATAAATATTGAAGAGAGAGAATTTAATTTGGTTTATGGGGTTTTGAAGTTGGGCAAGGGAAGGACAGAATGGGGTTTTGAATGGTGTGTGAGTTGCTCTTGCCCTGTTTGGATTCTTGGGTCGAGTTGGGACTTGGGATGTGGGATGATGGGTCTCTTGTTTGGTGGCATCAAAATGTTTCAATAAGATAATGATTTGCTTCAACTGGTAAGAAAAGCATTTTCTTTTTTCCTTTTCTCTTAAAAAAAGAAAAAGAAAAAATGCGTCAACAAGTTTATAACTTAGGTGATTGAGAGTAATTATTCTTATAGCCGAGATTCTGTGTTCGATTTCCTTCTCCCTATATCGCTTGTATTAAAAAAAAAGAAAAAAAAAGGCATTGCCTGGTCAACCTAAAGCACGAACTTAGTAATTAAAGTTGGCGGGAAAAGGCATTTCATGGTGGGATGAAATGAGTAAAATAAAAGGAACGTTGAAGACGCGTAATTTTCATCCACTAAGATGAATGGAGTATCTTTGTCCAAGTGCATTGGCCCATTTATGTGCTTGAAAAGCGACATAGGAAGTAGTACTAAAGCTTAAAAGTAGTACAGAATGCGTGTGAATCCCACACAACAAAACACACAAAATCATGATTCATATCACCCGCTGGTATTCCTCAGTCCTCAATATTATTAACTCCCCCATGAATGTGGTTGGGAATTGAAGATACTATTGAATGAACGCAGAATGGCTTCTGCAGATTTGTTGGATTGGTCTTTAAGACATCCATCTCAGGACCCCAGTGGATTTTTCTTGTTGCAAAATTACAAATAATGCTGAAATTCTTTCTTCTTTTTATGTTGCTTCAAAATTAAGTGCTACCAAGCAATGATCAAGGACGGCCGAAGATTCAAAAAAAGAAAAAGGGTTGAATCTTGTGGGCATTGTTACAAAAAAGAAATGTTAAAGACATTGTGGGATGAGCTATAACTCAGTCAATGGTGCTGACAAAGTGATAACAAAGAAACATATCATGGTGAAGAGTGAGAACTTTGAATGCTCAACTCAAGAACCCTTCTTTTTAAGGACAGAAGCATATAATCTGGTGATGGAGTTTTATTAGCTAGCAGCAGCAAAAATTGAAGTATAAATTTTTCTAGTAATGACTGAGACTCAGTCTGCCTTTTTCCACACACCATTCTCATCACATGGGATGAAACTGAGTTTAGGACACTTGTCTATCTCCAAGTAGGTCAGGCTGGGAAACAATTCTTGCAGTTTCCGCCAATCCATCTGCAACTTTTCCAGGAACTTCAAGCGCACCGTTTCGACAGCCCAATTGCCTTCTTCCCTGTGACGCAGATTTGAGAGGCTTCCACCGCTGATATGGAGCTTCTTTAGGTTATTCAATTCCCATTGTATCAGCCAATTAGGAATATTAGAACCAGGGAAGTAATGGAGGTTAAGTTTCACCAAGGGAAGTTTCACCAAAGGAACAGGAACTGGAGCCATCATCAATGGATTTTTGGGAGTGTCATAAAGTCTTGACCATGATATTGATAAAGATCGGAGCTTGAACTTTGCTCGAGTGTCATAAAGTCTTGACCATGATACAGATAAAGATTTGAGCTTTTTGAACTCTGCCAAAGAAAAGAGCTCTCTTTTTGCAGCATCAGACGTTTTATCCACATGGATACTCAATTTCCTCAGATTTTCCAAGCCTGACAAATCAGCCAGCTTACAGTAGTTGCCTCCAGGCCTTGGCTCACCAATCACAAACCCTTTAAGCACTCGGAGTTGTGAGAGCAAAGCAAGTCCCTTAGGCATGTGGCTGATCAAGCAACACTCATACATATCCAAGTATGTCAGGTTGTTGAGTGAGCCTATCCCTTGAGGGAGCTGCTCCAAATCAACACAACCATTGAGGTTCAGGATCTTCAGATTGCTGAGTTTGCAAATTGAAGCAGGAAGCTCCGTAATTCTAGAGACTCCTCGAAGGCTTAAGTACCGAAGGTGTCTCATATTCTTCAACCCTTTTAAGAACGCACTGTCCTCTACTTGAATAAAATGCTTGGCTGAGCTCTCCCACCTCCCGAGCTGCAAAACTGCTACGTATTTCATCTTGGAGAACCATTCAGGTCTAAAGTCAAGATTAGGCTCATTCACATTGATTATACTTTGGACCTTCTCCTGTTCTAATCGATATGGCAATTCGTGTACAGAAGACCCCTCTTCAGTTTTTACAAGGCATGCCCTCCTAGAACAAGTAAAATCTTCGGTGGGATTTCCATTGCTATCAAAACTGAAGAATCCAGCTCTCTTTGCAAGCTTGATCGCAGCATAACGAACAGAAGGGTCCATGCTGCAGCTATCAGCACTTGGTCTGCGCTTTTTGTACACCGGCTTGATGAGGCCTTTTTCTATGAAGTCGTTGAAGAATTTATTTGCAGTATCCTCAGAAGTCTTGTCTGATGTACCTAAAGTGTCTATAAACCCCTCACCAACCCACCAATGGACTAAAACCTTCTTCTTTATGACAGCATTTTCAGGGAACACTGAGAAACAGAGGAAACAGAGCTTCAATGTGACATCTAGACGATTGTACACCGCCTCTATTTCTTTGAATGTTGAACTCTCCGCCTCTATTTCTTTGAATGTTGAACTCTCCGCCTCTATTTCCTGCAATTTGGTTGGTAAATAAACTGAGCGACCATGAAGGTTCAATTCCCAACGGATCATGGAATGTTTTGCACGTTGTAGGCTCTGGGATTTCAAATTGCCTGAAGAGAGTTGCGGAGAAGAATGCAGAGACTTCTTTAACATGGAGACAAGGTGGTGAGTTTTAACGAGCTTGTCCCTAAGATAACTGGTTTCTTCTCTACGTTCTTGTGACCTTGTTCTTTGTTTAAAGGCATCATCCAAGGCCCGGAAAACTAAACCTTTCATAGAAACGTTGACTTCATCTTCCTCCCACTGCTTAAATTTCACACAGGCCTTTTTGATGTAGATGAGATCATTCTGAATTTCCTCAAACATCCCTTGCAGGTAGGAGTCCTCCTCAACGATGGTATCATCGCCATTGTTGGTGGTGGTGGTGGTGCTGCTGCCTCTGCCGCTGCCGCCTTCAACAAGCTGTTTCAACTCGGACATTTGGTGGAGAAAATCTGGCATGATAACCTCATTGAAAATTTGGAATGGTGTGACCTGCCTAGATTTCAAGTATGAAAGAAGATCTAGAGACACATAAGGTGACTCAAAAGATGTGGTGACAAGGGTTCGTGTGGACATAGTTGTGAAGAGAAGGAATTGCAACGTTCGTAAAGAAGGAATGGCCCAAATAATGAAGAGAAAAAAGGACTCATAAAGTTATTGATCATCTAGAAAGGATGAGTTGTAAAGTAGTCATGTGCACCTCTGTTGAATGATACACAGCAGCACCAGTAGGGACCCTTTTTCCAATGGTTTGATTAGTAAACTTTGGCATGCTGCTGCATGGACTTGTCAAAGACTATGGAGTCAAGGTCTCCCATGAAAAAAAGGAGCAGTTGTCGAAAATATAATATGTTTGATAACCATTTCAATTTTAGTTTTTAGTTTTTAGTTTTAATTTTTTGTGCTAGAGTATAGAGGAAAATGAGAATGAGAATGGGAGCGAGGATGAAATTGAGAGAGAGGATGAGAGGTGAAATTACTTGTAGGATGACTAAAAATTGCTAGAGGGAGTGAATAGGCCAATTTAAAATTATAATCAATAAACAATAAAAAGTAAATTTAGGTTTTAGCTATAAAAAAAATTTCACTTTTGGAAAAAGCCAAAACTTTTTCAAAAAAGACAGAAAAACCTCTCAACTTTCAAATCAAAGACATGCAAATGTAAATGATTCCTTAGGAAATCCAAAAATAAATAAGGGCAATTTTGTCCATTTTGGCTTCTTTTAAAAAAATTCTCTCTCCTTTTGCTTTTTCCGAAGTCTCCCAAAATTTGGTAGCATAATTGATATGGCTTATCAGTCTTGAAATGTGCTGAGCATAAAATAAAAGAACACACAGAGAATTATTTTACATGGTAAAACCCTACATCTAAGGAAAATCCACGGGACTCCTCAGTCCAACACATTTATAGAACGATGATTATAAGAATTACTCACACACTTATCATAGACACATTCTGGATAATGTTTATCGACTTCTTCGTAACTTAACTTCTGTCATGGGATGATCTTCTGACACTCCTTATGTCGAACACAATACTGGTCACGATTGCTTCAAGCTCGCCGGAGTTCTTCAAACTCTCCTTATGTTGAATATGATATTGGTCACAATCGATTCAAGTTCACCGGAGAAAAACCGCCACAATGGTCTTGCCCTCAACTGTATGAGTCACCGAACATGCAAATGAATGCAATATGAATGATAAAAGTGTTTGATAAACCACCAAGTAAACATGAAACACTTAGTGATTTATCTCAAATAAAAATGCTGTACACGAAATTATTGTTCAAAAGCTGTACACGAAGAAAAACATCAAGCCTTATTTTATATAACTTTTTCTTCTCTTGAAAGAAAAGTCCAAGTCCAAAACACAAGCAATTTCATTGAAGGCTAACCAAATAACCAAAGATATGTTTCCTAGTCAAAACCAAATTACTTGATTTGCACGAATTGAATGACATCAAAAAGATTTTCCTATTCTAATGATGATCACACATGAAGCCAAAAACAATAGAAAAGTAAAAACCCAAATAAAGGAAATTTACGATAATTCCACCATTAAAGGAGTCCTAATATTCGTAGGTCAACTACCAAGAATATCTCAACACTTTTAATAATGTGATCTGATTAAAACTTGATTTGCAAGTAAATTACTTTAAAAGATAAGTAATAAGATAAGAGAAAGAAAGAATAAGTACAAAGACATTGCAAAATATGCCTAAATGAGATGCACTCCTAAATGGATTATAATTTATTAAAATCCATGAAGATCAAGGAAATAAAATCATATTAGATTCCCAAAAAAGGTTCCTATTATGAGTGCATGAAAAATGACATGTCTTACCCTTCATATCAAATGGCTCATACGTGTTAAGTCACAATTCTGGAATTCGGGGATTGCTGAGCTGTTTCAATCCTGCAGTTTCTGGAAATAAGAGACAACAATTTTGCTTCAACCCTACAGCTAAATGACACTTTCAAACCAATACTAAGTTCTAGGAAATGCTAACACAATTTCATACCAACAGGGGATGATTTTGGGGCAAGGGAAGTGAAAAAACAAAAACAAAAAAATGAAAACAATTTTAACTTCAATTCTCTCTCTTTTTCCATTACTCTAGCATAAAAAATGAAAACTAAAAACTAAAAACTAAAATTGAAATGGTTATCAAACGGGCCCTAAAAGAAAGGTGTAATTTGGTTTGTGGAATTCATTTGGGTGAGCAAATTACATAATTTAAATTGAAATTAACAAAAAGTTCATTTGGTTCCAAAGGGACCAAAATATATGTTAAATTTAATATACACTTGTCTTGAAGAATTTAGAAGAATCTAGAAAAAAGTAGAAAACTCAAGAAATGTCTATCAACTTTGACAAAGTTAAGCTTTAAGACATAATTGTTATAGGCTTCTAGAAAAGTCCTAATAAAATCACTTTATTGTTCTTCTATAAAATTAAATTTTTTTTTTTAATAAAAAAAAGTAGTGAAAAGGCCACTAAGCCAGAAAATAGGAAAAAGGTCAAAAGCCTAAGGGGGGTGTATTCAATTAAGATTTTAAAAGAGTTAAATGGAGTCATAAAGTTTGTAGAGTTCAATGTAGTTCAATTGATTTCTATCAACTCCACATAGAGTTTGATTGAATTCCTAGATTGATTTTGATGCTGTTTGTTAGAGTTCTATTGTAGATTTTAAAAGAGTTGATTAGAGTTCTAAAATATATACATATATTTTTTTTTGGGCTGTTTATTGTTTTTCTAGATTTTCAAAAGAGAAAAGTACCTTTACAAAAACATTTGAGCTATTGAACTTCCAAATGAATACATCCAAAGAAATTTTTTTAAAAAAGGGCATCTAATTTGTTCAAATGTGCAACCAAATAAGGACTTATGTCTGCATGTTTATGAAAAATGCGCAAAAGTAAAACATAAAAGTAATTTCATACACCCCCCCAAGTAAATTGAATACACCCAAACTTTTACAAACTCTTTTAAAATCTAAATTGAATACACCCAAAACTTTTAAACTCTTTTAAAATCTTAATTGAATACACCCCCATAAGTAAACAGTTTCTAGTTGTTGAAGGCCAATAAGCCTAGTCCTCTATAAAGCCTTGTACCCATCTACTATAGAATAAATAAAATCACTTTCCTATTCACCCTAAAATCCTAACAAGTGGTATCAGAGCAAAGTTCGGTCACCTTGGGCGTAAGGGTTTGATATAGTCCTCCATCATGTCTACCGCTAACCAAACTTCTATCCTATTTCCAATCTTTACTGGAGAAAACTATGACTTCTGGAGTATTAAAATGAAGACCTATTGTATGTCTCAAGATCTGTGGGACATAGTTGATAGTGGCTTCAATAATCCAGAAAATCCAACTGTGGAACAATTAAGGCAGCTAAAGAAAGATCAGCAGAAGGATGCAAAGGCTTTATTTGCACTGCAACAAGCTTTGGATGACACTATTTTTCCAAGGATTATGGGAGCCACAACATCAAAGGAAGCATGAGATACTTTGAAGGAGGAGTTTCAAGGAAACGCCAAGGTACGTGCAGTTAAGTTATAAACTTTGAGAAGATATTTTGAAAACATTAAAATGAAAGATTCTGAGACCACACAAGAGTACTATGCTAGAGTAAAAGAAATAATCAATCAATTGAGAGCCTATAGAGAAAAAGTTTATGATTCAAGAATTGTAGAAAAAATACTTATAAGTCTCAGTGATAAGTATGATCCACTAATAACTGCCATTAAACAGACAAAAGATATAACTAGTATGTTAGTGACAGAATTAATGGGCTCTCTGGAAGCATATGAAAAAAAGACTAAGTAGGCGAAATGAAAGTCCAGTAGAAAGTGCCTTCCAATCGAAACTAAATTTAAGGTCTCAGAAGTCTAAAGATGATGAAACAAAATTGGAAGAAAATTCTAGAGAAGTAGAAAATGAACCCAACAATAATTGGGAAAATAAAAGAGAAATTGTGGAGAGGAAAGACTATCCTCCGTGTCGGGTATGCAAAAAGACAAGCCACCAAGAGAAAGAGTGTTGGTACTGAGGCATACCAAAATGCTGGTACTGCAAAAGATTGTTGATTCAAGAAAAACTATCAAACTAACTACACAAAAGAAAATGATAAGTACGAGCATGTGTTCTATGCATGTCCAGCACCATCAGAAAAAGACAATACAAATTAGTATATTAACAGCAGCGGCAATGATCGGAAGACAAAGAGACTGCAACACAATTATCAGCTGGAGCAAAGAATATGGCATCAACAAGATCAGAATATCTAGCAATATAGCTCCAAGTGTGCATTAAGGAGGAGTGTTAAATTTAATATACACTTGTCTTGAAGAATTTAGAAGAATCTAGAAAAAAGTAGAAAACTCAAGAAATGTCTACCAACTTTGACAAAGTTAAGCTTTAAGACATAATTGTTGTAGGCTTCTAGAAAAGTCCTAATAAAATCACTTTATTGTTCTTCTAAAAAAAAGAGTGAAAAGGCCAATACGCCAGAAAATAGGAAAAAGGCGGAAAAGCCTAGTAAACAGTTTCTAGTTGTTGAAGGCCAATAAGAGCATCTCCAACCGATGTGTCAAACGTGCCACATAGATATTTAACAGCTAGAAATAACATCTCACATCACTCCAACTGATGTGTCAAAGTTGATGTGGAATGAAAGCTGGAGGTTGAGATATTATTTTTGACATCCGAAAACCAAGATGTCAAATGAATATTTTATTAATTTTCTTTTCTTTTCTTTTTAATTAAAAATGAATCAACACTAAAATGTAATAAAATAATAATTTAATTTGACATATCGGCCGGAGTGTAAAGTTGTGAGCATCTCCAAGGGAGATGTCAAATACCAAACATCAAATTTAAATTTGATGACTGATGTGGCAATTTGATATTTATACAGTTTTACACTCCACCCGATATGTCAAATAAATAATTATTTCAACAGTCAAATCATTCAAGATAAAGAAGAAAATAATAATAAATGAAAGTAACAATCAGTTGCCTTCATTCCACATCAGCTTTGACAATTCGATTGGAGTGATGTGAGATATTATTTCTAGCCGTTAAATGTCTATGTGGCACTTTTGACATATTGGTTGGAGATGCTCTAAGCCTAATCCTCTATAAAGCCTTGTACCCATCTATTGTTGAATAAATAAAATCACTTTCTTATTCACCCTAAAATCCCAACAATATCAAGAAAATAAACTGCAACAAAGTTGTGATTCATTTCAACCATCCCCTTCTAAAGAAATGAAAAGCCAAGCCCATATGATTTTCATTTGGTTCCTTTACTTAACTGCCACCATTTTGGTTCCAGCTTGGTTTTCCAGCTCATAGAATTGTGTTCCCAAGCCCAGATGATTCATCAGTAGCCAAGTGAAAGTCAGAAGTTCTCCACCCCTACTTGGTTGATGAGCATGCACAATTGGTCTACATTTAATGGAAGCATATGACAATAATTCCACCCACACTGGGCTCATTAGCTTCCATGGGTCTGCCTCGACCTCTTCAAGCTGTTTTACTAGGAAACATGCATCGAACAACACAGATTTGCTTTTACCCTTCACAGCGGCTGATCTGAATTTGGCTTCCACAGCATTAATCTTTTCACAAGCTTTCCCATGATCAGTTATTTTGTGCTTGAAAAAGAACCTCTTGGCCTCTGCACGTGTGTCCTGGAAGACTATATGCCAATTCCCCAAAAATGGGGCCATCATATTATGCTGCATCACCACCAGAAGATAAAACATATAATCTGAAAGTAGTTTGCAAATTTCTCTTCTTTCCTTATCAGCGTTGTGCTTCTTTTTCGCAAAGTAGAGTTCCGTTGCTATGTGCCACAGAAGAACACTTTCTGCATATTGATATTACCCTACACTCCATTTGAGTTCCAGATAGTTTGAAGTCTGCAGGAGAGCCAGTCACCTCTTTGTGAAGATGCCTCCATGGCAGCTCTTCTGTTGTTTGCTTCCAAAGATTTTATCCTCAGCTGCTTGAACAAAAATTTATTGACATCTTCAGTGACTGCCTCTGAGGTTGAAAAAAAACAGACTTTTATTTTATCTAGAATTCCTCCAACGCCCACATAACCAGCAAAAGTGTACACCCATTCTGGATGCTCATCCAGGAAATTGCTTATCATATTATACTTGGACACCGATCCAGACCACCTTCCTCTTTTCGGTTTCAATATCACTGCACCAATATATGATCTGCTCCAGATGTTGTTGAAGGCAATGACTGTCCAGTCTGAACAAATGAGATTCAACACAGACAGAGTGTCCAGGATTATGGCCCCAATAAGCAAAGCATAGGTAAGAGCAATGTCAAACTTATCAAACTTATGTTTTCCAACTAAAGCAAATAACATCAAGGCACCAATTGTTGAACAGAAGGTAAGTAAGCGGAGAATGTACCCAACTTTGTGATGAGCCACAACCACCTTGGTATGGAGAACCTCATACATGAAGCTGAGCTCATACTCTATCAATTGAAAAGCACTAACATGGGTTCTTTTGAGAAAAAATTCTCGGCTGCGTTCTTGAACTTTGGAGCTCAGAAGGAAACCAACAAGGAGCCCTTTGAAACTTCCAAAGAAGCGATATGCTTCCTGCAGTAACTGCACGTCATCTACAGATTCTTTAAGAACTCCTTCAACTGTAAATTTGGGGTTCTTATAATTCCCAATGTGCATTGGCCTTATTGGCAGCTCTACTTGTGTTGGAACTTCGACTGACCTCATTGTATAGTATATTTCCACAGCCTCTTCATAGTCAGGCCCAGGCTCGGGCTCTGGCAATACAGTCTCTCCAAAATGGTCCAAGCTAGCAAGATACAGATACAGAGCACATGTTCTCTCCCCAAACTTGATAGTTCCCACAACAAACACTAGGACTGTTGGGAACCAAAGCTTGTTTTCAAAAAGTGTCATATAGAAGCTGTAAGCAGCTGCCAGGACTTGTAGAATGAGTTGAATCAAATGCCTGAGCCAGAACTCATTGTCCTCTAGAGCAAAAGAAGTAATAGTATCAGCGCCACCAAGATGAACTAAAAGAAATGGAGCCCAGAATGCTAAAAGGTCTTTATTCTTTCCAGAGTCACAAGGGTCACCCTGGCTTTTGGTGATTACCCCAATTGCAACCGCAGCAACCCAGTCGAAGAGCAAGTACGCAAACCAGATCAACACTACAATCAATTTGCTTCTGCATTTTTGTCTGAGTGGTGCACAAAAAAATAAGAAAACTTGAAGTGCAAGGCTCAAGATAATACAGCCCCTCAGATTCCATTCATTCCATATCTTCATGACCTCCTTCGGTATAGGTAGCTCCATAGTTTTCACCAAACCCTTTTACCTTGGTTAAGCTAGCAAGCCTGGCCTAGTCTCTGTTCTGCTTCATATGAGCAACCAACTTATGCACTCTCTCTTGATTGCATGACTTTTTCTCTGGATTGACTTAAAAGAGACATTGTACCACAATCATATGGTAATTGCTTTGGCTATTGCTGTGGAAATTTCTATCCTCATTCTCTTTGGGGTGATATACTTCAATTCATACCAACTTCGAATAGTCAAGTACCTTTCTTTAAGATGCACCTACTACGAAGTTGGGTTTAGCAATATGAATGCAGATATTTCACCTAAAACTTTCATGGTATCCAGCTGCAGAGAAAGCTCGTGTGGGTTTAGTCAATTGTTGTTTTGTTTTTTCTATTAAAAAGTAAAAAGACTTGTCTTTCTCTATTGCTTTTATTATAGTAAGTCGTTTTTACAGGTTTGGAGACTTTGAACCATGTAGTGGTGTCATTTCCTTTTAAACAGTCTCATTTTTACAATCATAATTATAATTTCCTTCATGATCTTGATAGACAATGCATCTAAAACTTTCATGGTATCCAGCTGCAGAAAAAGGGATTTCTCTTTCTGTGGTGTTGATGGTTTAGTCAATTGTTTCGGAAAAAAAGAAAAAAGAGTTTTGTCTTTCTCTGAGTACTAGTGTCATTGTCTTCTAAATAGTTTTTTTTTACCAGGAAGCAGATGAGACGACTGACTTAAAGCATGATTTGGGACCAGAACTGAGGCCCCTCCTATATTTATAGTCTTCTAATAATTTGGGACCACGGCTCAGTCTCAGTCTATACTTTGTTTAAACGAGAATGTTCAAAGAAATCCCACTAGAGAGCTAAGCTAAAATGAAGTTTGCAACTTATCTTGGCCTAAGAAGAAGTCACCGAAACAGAAACGACCATACCAGGTCAAATTGCTTCATCTGAAAAAAAGAAACATAAGACAACAAGTGTATTTTTATTTAGGATTCAGTAATATTTCATTCACTTATTAGGATTCAGTACAAATGTCTCATGAGAAAAAAGATTCATATCATAATTAAGATTAACTTCAAATAGTTCTATCCAACACATATTGCCGTTTACTTCCCCACAATGAGTTTTGCTCTAGCATGGCCCTCATTTATTTGGAACTGCACCCCTATGCCAAAATGAGCCATCAATAACCAAACAAAAGTGACAAGCTCTCCACCTTTGCTCAGCAATTGAACATGGTCATTTGCTCTGCAATGACCGGCAGTATATGAGAGCAGTTCCACCCATACTTTGCTCATTAGCTCCCATTTCTTTTCCTTTAATTCCATCAATTTTTTGGCCAAAATACATGCATCAAACAGAACGGATTTACTTCTATCCCCTTTGACAGCAACAGGTTCAACTTCGGTATTCACCTCAAGGATTCTCTGACAGGCCTCTAGTTGTTGTTTAACTCCACCTGATCTTCCTGACCCTAGTTCTCTTCTGCTAAAGAATTTTTCGGCTTCTGCACACGTATCCCGAAATCTTATTTGTCCAATTCCTGCTACAGAAGACGTCAAAGTGGGCTGCATAACTAAGAGATATAACATATAATCCGACAGGGCCTTACTGATTTTACAGCCATCTGACAGGGCTGCCTTACTGATTTTAAGGCCTTCTCCATCGCTCAGCTCCATGTTATAGCAGAACTCAGTAGCAATGTGCCACAATAGAATGCTCTGATCATAATCAACTTCAACAATATATCGTAGTAAGGTACTGTGATCAGTACTATTCCAATCACCATCCTGGAGAACCCAGTCACCTCTTGCCGAACATATTCTCTTGGCTGTTTCAGGATCATCTGCAAGCATGGATTTACTTTGCAACTCCTTAAAAATGAATTCCCATAACACTTTAGTGAGTGGCGTGCTGTGCCTATATTTCATTTTATCTCGAAGATCCTTGAGGCCCAAGAGATCGATGATTTTAATGTAGGCAATGCCAGGGTAGTCAAAAATATTAGGAAACATTTTTTTGCGTTCCTTGAGGGAATAATCTATCAAGTTGAATGTAGAGATGGATTCATACCACCTTCGAAACAGGATTTGACTAATCCTGTCCAAACAACTTGTATTTTTAGACCAATTTGGTCTCTTGAAACTGAGGTACTTTTTTAGAATAGTAGCGACAAAAGATTTTTGCCAATATTTTGTCAGAGCTGCGACAGTCCAATCAGAGAATATAAGCATGAAAAGAGCTATTGAATCCAGGCCTAAAGCACCAAAAAGCAGGGTATAGGTAATTCCAACATCAAACTTATGGTAATCATGTTTCTCTAGTTTATAGAAGAAACCAAGGGCTATGGAAACCGCAGTGAAGGATATAGCCCGGAAAATGCATCCTTGCGTAGAATGCACCACAACAGCCTTGGTGAAGAGAGCTTCATATACAAAGTTGAGCTCAATTGCAATCAATCTAAAAGCATCTTTTGCCTCTCTTTCTTGGAAAAATGCACGGCTCTCAAAGCGTTCGTGGAAGCTAAAAATGAGATCCACAATAAGACCCCGGAAGATTTTATAGAAGTGGTAAGCATGTCGCACCATTGCAATATCATTCTCCATATCACCTGGTTCTGCAACATAAGTTACTGTCCTGGATTCTTTGCTGCGTTCTGCTGTCAACTCTATATGAGTTGGAAGTTTGGCTTCTTTTTTTGAGGAGTACTCCTCCATGAGCTTTGCATAATTGGGTCCAGGGTCAGGTGTTTTAAGCATGGATTCCTTGAAATTGTCCAAGCTTGCAAGATACAAACCGCGTGTGCGCTCAGCATACTTGATGGTTCCTGCCAGAAACAGGAGGATTGTTGATGGCCACAGCTTGTTGGTGGGAAATGACTGAATGAAGACATATATGGCAGCTATAACTTGGAATATGAGGCCAAGAAAATGCCTTAGCCACAGTGTGTTATCTTCAAGAGCAAACGCAGTAATGGTGTCTGGACCACCAAGGTGTAACAAGAGAAATGGAGCCCAAAATGCCAAAAGATCCTCATTGTTATCGCCTGTACCTCGAGCATTGCCTTGGCTGTTTGAGATTAACCCAATTGCAAAGTTAGCAGCCCAGTCAGCCAGCAAATAAGATGACCAGATGGTGAAGATTATCGCCATGTTGGGTGCTCGCTTTCTGAAGGGTGCACCAAGAATTAAAATGGTCTGCAATGTGAGGCTTAAGAGGATAAAGCCCCGGAGGTTCCACCTTTCCCATAGCCTCTTGACGCTCGTAGGAATGGGATTTATGGAGGAAACCATATCCTAGAAGTTCAGCAATTGCGAAGTTTCTACAAATCAATTAAGCACAAGGACAAATTTGAAATTCTCTGCTTAATATGATATTAAATAAACATTAGTAATGGAATGTTGGTGATCAAACGTCTATCGATCACCGGATGGGATCTTTTCAATTGCAAAAGCACATACTGAAAATAAATTCAGTTTCCCATAATGGGTATTGTAGCAGGAAATCTAATCATTATGGATGGTGAGTGGCCAAAACTGCAAAAGTTACTTACTACCTGCGGCTTTGTAGTTTTGGGCTAGCCAGAAGTAGATTTAATCACTAGCTACCCTAGTTGTTGGAAAAAACTAGACTGACCTCAACTTCACTAGGATGGCAGACACTTACGGGATAAAAAAGGGTGCCTCCAAAATTGCCAATTTCACCTTCGTTTCATTATACTGAGCATACAGTGGGGCTTTTGAAGAACAAAAACAACATAAAATGGAGTTTCGGATACATTTAACAACACACCCTATTAAGAAAAAAAAGAATTTAACTGAAATGTATTCATAGACAAGCTCAAACAAATTTTCGGTAATCAGGATATTAAGTTGATGATAACATGCATAGCAGGGTGTTTAAAAAAGATTACCATAGTGTATAATGTGATTAACGGTTCACGAACTACAGTCCATAGCCAACAATAATATTAGCAATTTGGCAACAGAGAAAGCAACACCAAATAAACAATTCATGGCAAAGCAAAGTCTGAAGCACAAACCAATTAAGCAAAGAAACAAGGCCGAAAATGAAGATAAGAAGGATAGAGGAAAAACCTGCTGGGTTGAGTGGACTTGAAGCTGAAAGTCTGAAGCACAAACCAATTAAGCTGTGCAGAAGGCTAATGAAAGTGTGCTTAATTTCCTGTTGGTCCAGTACTGATATGATACTTCTCAGCCATGCTAATTGCTTGCTGGCAGTCAACTCTAAGTCATACTATGCTTGAAAGTTTGAAACTAGCTTCATTGAAGCTAAATAAATACTAGCAGGGAAAAGTCCAAACAACTTGGGGAACATTGTGGCCCAGCCCAGCTGTCAAAGTAAGACTTGAAGGTCACTGTCACTAAAGCCAACTGAATTTAATTAATTAAAGCACCTCTGGCTTTTTGACTCACTTATCTACAATTAATTATAATTACCAATGTAAAATGTTAATATATTTATGAACGTGAAAACTTCTACTTACCAAAATGGAAAGACCTTATCAACGTCTGATTAGAAGAAATTTCTTATGGGTACAGAACATAACCATGAATAAGGGCATATGCTAGCTATTTAAACTTTCATGAGCCAAAATCAACTACAAATCCAGGCAAGAGATCCCGCTGGAGAGCTAAAGCTAGAATGGAGGTTGGCGCCATCATGTAATTACACGACCGGAACATCAAGAAGCCAAGCCACCTAAAGATAAAGTATTACATTCGGTATTAATACTTTCACAACTTTTATTTTTCTTTTGTACTTTCCACAGCTTGTATTGGACAGTTGGAAAAAGTTGATGCTCAGTTTCTCAATGAAGGGATTGTCTTGATTCGGTCAATTCCTTTGTTGCCATCACTTAATCACTGCAATTTTTCACGTTAAATGTTCCTAACAAATCATGATGGCCACCAATTACCAACCCTTTAAGAACTAGGAGTTCTAAGACCAATTATTACCTTAGTCTGCAGGTTTTCTGGATCCAAATCA